CACTCTTGCTGACTCTCTAGAAGGCGCTGCGCACGAAGAAGCCAGAATCGACATCGAAGCGGAGAACTCTAGGGGCCGCCATAGCTGACTAGGTAGGGGGGGAGATGCGGCTGGAAGCCGCCGAGAAAGCCTGAGCAGGGCGGGCAGGCTGCGCACGACGGGCAAGTCGAAGGGCGAGACGCGACCGGCAGGGCACAGGGCGCGACGGCAGGGCGCAGGGCGCAGTCTGGACGGGCGCAACACTGCAATGCGCGAGCGCAGGCGCGGACGCAATGGGCAGGGCGCTGGGCACAGGCGGAACGGGCGGGGCACTAAGGGCGCGGATGGGCAGGGCGCAAGGGGCACTGACACGAAGGGCGCTGACGGGCAGGGCACAGGGGACGACGGGCAGGGTGACACGGGCGTGACGGGCAGGGCGTAACGGGCGCGACGGGCAGGGCGCGACGGGCATGGCGCTCCAGGCGCGGACGGGAAGGGCGCAGGGAGCGCGGACGCGCAGGGCGCTGACGGGAAACGAAAAAATTCCCGAGCGCGGCATCGCACAGTCGCGTTGGTACAAGAGTGTTGTAATCTGGTTCAATTCCAGCCAATTGCGGCTGCGCAGCAGGCAGTGTTGGCAAGATTCCTTGTTAACGCATAGCTCGCAGCGCGCTGCACCCGAACGACACCACAACCATCCACCCCCCTCCACCGTCCTCCTTGCCAACGCATAGCTCGCAGTGCGCTGCTACTCTCACGTCAGCACGTCCATCCACCCCACTCACCCCACCTTCCCTGCACACATGACCAGGTGTCGTGCATGCAGTGACCATCAGGGAGATGAGCGGTCCAAATACGAGGACCTCTCATCTTCCTCATTGTCGCCTCTCTTGGGGGTCACTCAGTGCCCTGTCTCTCTCGCTTCATTCAATTGCCTCGCCGGAAACTTGTGCCGAAACCCTTGTTTTAGCTCTCTCTCCTCGACCTCGCAAAACTTGTGCTCGGCAGACTCAATGGCAGCCACAGACGTTGCCGCCGAAGGGCCCGACGATGATGACGAAGCCGCTCGTCGCCCTGTTTCCGACGCTGTGACCGGCCTAGACTTTCTTAGGTCGTGCTTACCGAATCATGTTCCATCGACTGCTCCACCTTCGCAACCTAGCTCTAGTTGTTTTCGGGTTTCCATCCACTCTGAACCTCTGCCCACGGCTGTCACTGAACAAGTGATCGATGCGCCACAGTCGGTGCCCCATGAGGCGTCCGCTGAAGCACTGTCCCATCCCGCGCCACCGACGAAGCTGCGGTACCGACAGGCCACGTTTCCGTGGGCAACTCCACCTCCTCCATCGACCGGTTCATGGAGTTGCAGGAGGTCTTCACGTCAACCAATCTCGAGGTGCAAGGGATCCACGAGGTGCGGTGGCTTTCAAGAGGTGTTACAGTCGCCCGCTTTGTCGAGGTCCTCCCTGCCATCGTGGTGATGTTGTCAGAGTGGAAGGACCGAAAGATGTTCGAGCTCGTCAAGTCCTACCGGTTTCAGTTCCTGCTACGGTTCCTCGCTGACGTTCTGGAGCTCCTCAACATCCTCTCCAAGGTTTTCCAGCAGCGAGAGGTAAGTAACTTGAGTCTATGCTGTGTGTTATCAACACCTGTACCCGTGTACTTATTTACTCTTGATTTTTGTGTGGCAGCTCGACTACCCCTTGGTGCACACGCAGACTGTGCGCACAACATCTCTCTTGGAGAGTCGGTACATCGACTGCAGAGGCGACTTCGGCGACGGCCCTAACGAGCGGCTTTATCGCTTCATTGAGAAGCATGGGCCGAAGGGGACACTAGAGATGGTGGTTGAAGGCGTGTTGTCGGATGGAAGCCTCAACCGCTTCAAGGTCACCCTACACGAGCGCATAGTGGCGAACTATCTCGGACCAGGTCATCACGACGCGTGTGTGGCGCTCGGCACCGAATTTGCCGAGGGCCTCGTCCAAGAGCTCCAGTTAAAGCTCGGCGACCTCGACTCTCTTTCCGGCGTGCGACTTTTCATTCCTGACTTGTGGCAATCGAATTGGGAGAGGTAAGCACGGCAGGCACAGTGCCTTTAGTGGCTGTTGTCGCTAGTCACTCTGTTCTGCGCCGACGACTCCGACGAGATTCTGCCAGGTCAGTTTATGATTGGATGCTCGTTCGACCGTTGGCATCACGTCCCTTACTAATCCCATGCCTTGTCTTATCTTGCAGGGATTGACAAGAAGCGTGCCGTGAAGGAGCTGCGGACTCTGTGCTATTAAAATAGGTTCATAACTTAGGACTAGAGTAGCCTAGGGTTTAGGTTAGGCAACCTAGAGTGTCGAGAGAATTAGCAAAGAAAAGAGGGGCTTCACTACAAAATTGCAAGTACAAGTAGATGAGAAACATGCAGGGAGTGGTTCACCACCAAACATAACAGCTATGTAACTACACTACAGCTAGAACTGCATGCACTTATACAGAAATATATATAAAATATATTCTGACATGTGCTGAGTCCTGCCCACAGCTCCTAAGAGTGAGCGCAAGTTCAACACGGGACTGACTGCAATTCTCAAGACAACTGACTGGCAGCAAGCATACCCCAACCTCGTCAGATTCTGGGTGGCAATTGCCGTGCTACCACTTAGCACCGTCGAGTGCGACAGAATCGACAGGATCTCATCAAGACGTGGCAGAGGGGCAGCATCAAGGACTGTAGGCTTAGTGATCTGCTGTGTATGTCTATGCTAGACTATGAGCTAGATGTGCCTGGGGTAGTAGGGATTTGGCGCAGCTATAAGAAGCGCCAGCTAGTCACAGCACCTGCTGCAAGACACAGGAAGCCCCCGGAAGGAGCTTGTAGAGGAGATTGTAGTTCAGCGGGCAGCTGTAGATACTCATGTGTCAGAATCTGAGTCAGATAGCTGAAATGTTCCTTTGGTGAAGTATAAAATTCAACAGCCTTCAATTTGAGTGTAACTCTAAACTTTCAGCCTAAAAAAACTACTAGTGTTGTCTGAATTTCCAGACTCAAAATTGGATGCAACTCTGACTGACAGAGTTTAGAGAAGGGTGCACGTTGACCCATCAGAGTGTCCCAAAACGAATCTAGGGCCCTGATTTCATGGTTCACTTCAGTCTTTGGCTATGGTAAAAGCCACTGAGGGAATGTTCTTGGCCAGTGTCAAACTTCGGGCCAGGCTGCTTGACACGAGGTGGAATAGACAGGCTGTCAGAATGTGATGGTTGTCTAGCCTGCAGTGGGGTACTCTATAGCGAGTACAGCCCTTCTAGGGTTTGCATATATGTATCCCTATGCTTGTTAGTCAAAACCCTTCTTGCCTGTTTCTCGTTTTCGCCTAGCCTTTCAACATGCTATCAGAGCGGGTCGACCCTCCTGGGTCGATCCTGTGGGTGGTCCCACCAGAAGCTTCCGCTGTTGTTTCCTGCTGTTTCCTGCCTGCCGCGCGCTCCGGGTGCGTAGCGATTTTTTCTTCCCGCCGCGCGCTGCCCCGTCGACCCGCGCGTCGCCCCTGTCGACGGTCGCGCGGGCCGCGCTCCCCGTCGCGACGCCCTGGGGAGCCGCGCGCGGCCCCCGCTGCCCGTCGCGACGCCCTGGGGAGCCGCGCGCGGCCCCCACTGCCCGTCGCGACGCCCTGGGGAGGCGAGCGCGGCCCCCGCTGCCCGTCGCGACGCCCTGGGGAGGCGCGCGCGGCCCCCGCTGCCCTGTCGCGCCGCCCTGGGGACCGCGCGCGCGTCCCCCCGTGATGCTGCCCGCGCGCGCCGTCCCCCGCTGTGCTGCGTGCGCGCCATCCCCCGCTCCTGCCTACGATTAGGGTTTGGGGGTGGCGCGTGTGGGGGTGGCGGGTATGGGGGTGCCGGGTGTGTGCGCCGTCCCCTCCTCCTCCTCCTTCTCCGTCTCCCACTGCTGCAGCTGCCGCTGAGGGGGGTGGGTGTGTGGGAGCCGAGGGAGTGGCGCTAGGGGGTGTAGTGTGAGCGGTGCTAGGGGAACAGCAGGGGGTGTGTAAAAAGGGGGTGGGACAGCTGGGGGAAGTTGAGAGGAGGCCGTCGACTTGTCGTCCGCAGCGCCTGAAGTCCAGGGAGCCACGACCCCCTGTGGCCTGAGTAGTCTGGGGCTCTGCGCCCGGTAGCTACAGTGTGTGCACTCCTGGGAGCACAGCGAGCCAGCTGCGACCCCCTGTCGCCGTGTAGTCCGGGTTTAGCCTGGTAGCGTCAGTGCGGCGTACTCCTGCTGCCTGTGTGTCTGCAGCTTCAGCCGTCGCCTCTCATCTTCTTGCTCCCACAGTTTCTCCTCCTCCTCACTTGCCCTCTGTGATAGCCTCTAGCTTTGCTTATAATTGTGAACTATTGCTCTGCCTGCTTGTTGTGTTGATTGTACCCCACTTTGACTATGGGGGTGTGTCAGAATGTGATGGTTGTCTAGCTTGCAGTGGGGTACTCTATAGCGAGTACAGCCCTTCTAGGGTTTGCATATATGTATCCCTATGCTTGTTAGTCAAAACCCTTCTTGCCTGTTTCTCGTTTTCGCTTAGCCTTTCAACACAGGCATGGAGCAAAAACGTTTTTTTGGTGTCAGACCTCCCCGGGGAGCTTGACACCAAGTAAACTTGGCCCGAAGCTAGACACCGGCCTAGAACGTACCCTGAGATGACTAATCTTTATAAACCGGTCATAAAGGAAGTTCGTCAGGTGGTTATCCGCTGCAGTGGAAGCCTCGAATCTGTCAAATGCGATCCTCTGGTACATGAGCTACGAGCAAGTCTAGGGACAACAAGCCCACATGGACGAAGGAATGGCATTGAGGTACACGAGTTTCGAAGACATAGCCAAGCTTTAGAAGCCGCTTCACAAGCTTGTGGTAGGCCCTAAGCAGCTCAATCTTTTACCGTTCCACGAGAAACAACGTATGAAGAAACATCAAGCTAACGCCACTGAAGGAGGCAGAAGAGGAGTTTTCATACAGGCGGCATCACCAACATCGGGTGCCATAGTTACGCAAACAGAAGCTTGAAGAATATCGTAACGATGTTGGCAGCAATCAATGGCACTGCGAGAAGCCAAAGAATGTTTAGGAAGAGTATAGAGTTGGATTGCGACTGCGGAAGAAAACCATGACAGTAATACGATTGGAATTGGCTACATGGCTCTAATGCTTGTGTATGTCCCCTTTTCATACCCCGTAAATACTGAACCGCGTGTATCAGTCCGACCACTTGCACCTTGAGCGGCGCCGTTGGTCCATTCGAGAGTTGATGGAAACCTAACCCATCTGCAGACGGAAAACGGAGCTTAGACCAGTAATAAGCTCAAGCATCAGCCGAACGCTAGAGATGGATTACATGGTACAAGAAACCGCTGCTCGTTTAGAACAGCGAGAGAGTTGGCGAGGAGAAGCACAGCGTAGAGAAAATCCCACATGACTGTCAACCTCAAAGGACAGAGCTAACCTCTAACTGGTATGTAGCTCTCTGCAATGCTCAAAATGGCTGGAATTCTCAAATTGCACACAAGGTGGGTAGGTGTCAAACAGATCTGCCATTCCACCAAATGTGTTTGCATCAGAAAGCCTCCAAAGTTCTGTGCAACCCATGGCGCGCAGTATGAAAGTGGATCTGGGATGGAACGCGGGAGAGTCTGACTTCTGGAAGGTGTAACCATCATTTGCAACATCAGCGAATTGTGCGTGAGGCACACATATGTGCGTGTTACTGTCGTCAAAATTTGTTCGCACAACTCGGCAACCAAGTTCGGTGATGGATCACATCCATCCCAATCTCAAAAGGTTTTTCCCTTTTACTTCCTCCAACTCAGGTCTTGAATCTGTAGTTCAGTAGGTTTCGCCTAACTCTCAGTGCCTTCGGGCTCGTGTCACCATGTCTCTCCGGCCGAATGCTCGCACGGAGGCGAGAAAGTCTGCTTACAAGCAAGCTGTTAACGCTGATGAGGCTCGCAGGCGTCGCGAGGACAATATGGTCGAGATCCGTAAGAGCAAGAGGGAGGAGAGCCTCCTGAAGAAACGCAAGGAAGGAATGCAGGCTCAAGTAGAGCTTCCTAAAATTCCTGTCGCAACTGTCGAGAAGAAGGTGCGCTCTGTTCCGCTCCGACCGTTGTTCGCGTTTTCGTTTTTTCTGCGGTATTGTGAAGACTTGCCTGCTTCTGTGTTGTTAGTTGGAGAGCCTTCCGGCTATGGTACAAGGCGTATGGTCAGAAGATCCACCCGCTCAGCTGGAAGCAACGACGCAGTTTAGGAAGCTGCTTTCGATCGGTATGTACCTTAAGCTCGTTGTGTCATTAAAGTTCCTAACAACCTGTCTTGTGATCTGACGGCCGATCTCTTTGATCACAGAACGTAGTCCTCCGATCGAAGAGGTCATAAAGGCTGGCGTTGTGCCCAGATTCACGCAGTTTTTGCAGAAGTATGACTTCCCTCAACTTCAGGTTGGTTTTTTGGATTGGATCTTGCATTTTGTGCACAGATAGTTCTTAACTTATCCAGTGTCTGACTTAATTTTCTAATCTGCAGTTTGAAGCAGCGTGGGCTTTGACCAACATCGCTTCTGGTACCTCTGACCACACCCGCGTGGTCATTGAGCATGGGGCAGTCCCTATATTCGTTCAGCTTCTTAGCTCTCCCAGTGATGACGTCCGCGAGCAGGTTAGGTTCCAAAGAATTCAGTCAGGATAGTTGTTATGAGTGTACGTGGATACTGGCACTGACAAGCAAAGTCTGATTTGCAGGCTGTATGGGCACTCGGTAACATCGCAGGCGATTCGCCCAAGTGCCGGGATCTTGTTCTGAGCCACAACGCCATGGGTCCGCTGCTTGCTCAGTTGAACGAGAATTCGAAGCTGTCAATGCTCCGGAATGCTACCTGGACGTTGTCGAACTTCTGCCGTGGAAAGCCCCAGCCTCCATTTGAGCAGGTACATAGCTTGGTTTTTCCCGTACACCTATTTGACGTTTCGCGGGCGTTCTAACATTTCAGCTTTCTGTCTTGCAGTCGAAGCCCGCTTTGCCGGTCCTTGAACGCCTGATCCACTCCACGGACGAGGAGGTTTTGACTGATGCTTGCTGGGCGCTGTCCTATTTGTCCGACGGAACTAACGACAAGATTCAGGCTGTCATTGAGGCGAATGTTTGTCGGCGGTTGGTCGAGTTGCTTCTGTAAGTTAAACCCTTCTCATTTTGGTGTTTTATGATTTCTCCTTGTTTTTTAACCGAGGTTTCTCTGGGATTTCCAGGCACCCATCGCCATCTGTCTTGATCCCTGCTCTTCGAACGGTTGGCAACAGCGCTTGTCACGGGAGATGATCATCAGACGCAGGTACGGGTTGACGGAATGTAATTGCTGAAGGCTTGTGAGAAGTTTTCCGTTTAAATCATCGCTGTTTGCTTTCAGGTCATTATCGAGAACCAAGTGCTGCCATGCCTCCTTTCCTTGCTCACAACAAACCACAAGAAAAGCATCAAGAAGGAAGCGTGCTGGACAATATCTAACATCACTGCTGGCAACAAGGAACAGATTCAGGTAAATTATCGTCCCCGTTCATCCGCTACTTTTTCTTTTTCCTGTTCCTTATCAATCGAGAATGTGTCCTTTCGTATGTGTAAGGAACTTAATCCTTTGTTCTCATCTTCATTCAGGCTGTTATTGATGCCAACATCATTCCTCCATTGAAGCACCTGCTGGAGACTGCTGAGTTTGATATTAAGAAGGAAGCGGCATGGGCTATTTCAAATGCTACTTCTGGTGGCACTCATGATCAGATCAGGTATGGCATTGAATGTTTCAACGCTGGTGTTCATCTGTGCTTTGCTTCTCACCTCAATGTTTGTGCCCTTTCCAGGTACCTCGTGTCCCAGGGCTGCATTAAGCCACTGTGCGATCTGCTGCTCACTTCTGACGCAAGGATTGTAACAGTCGCATTGGAGGGTTTGGAGAACATTCTGAAGGTTGGAGAGGCAGATAAGGAGCTGGGTCAGACTGGAGGTGTGAACCTTTATGCCCAGTACATTGATGAGGCTGAGGGTTTGGAGAAGATAGAGAATCTGCAGACTCATCAGAACAATGACATCTACGAGAAGGCGGTGAAGATTCTGGAGACCTACTTCGGGCTCGATGAGGATGAGGACCAACAACTTGCACCTCAAGTTGACGCCAACCAGCAAACCTACGCTTTTGGAGAAAGCCAGCCTATGGCTCCTTCTGGTGGATTCAACTTTGGTTGAGTCGTTTTAAGTAAGTTAATTTTCTTGGGCTTGTGCTGAGTTATCCTTGATGTTTTATGACATCAGTGTGCATGCCTCTGTCATCCTCTTGATGCAGGTTTGGGGTTGAAGAATGGGTAAAATCATATGGTTTTCTTTGTTCTGGACATCATGTATCACCAGCAGCATCTCCTACTCTTGAATGTGTCTTAGCTTTCAGTCTTGACCGTAGGTGCATTAATTGCACAAATCTTGGTGTCTTGAGTCTTTCTGTGACCACTGGTTAGAGTCAGCAGTCATTTATTTGACCATTTTGCTTATCATCTCATGCTCGATCAGCTTCTTTTCTGTTGTATGATTGCACATTTAAATCATAATATCTGAAACCAATTTAAGAATGAACTTCAAGTCTAGATGTGTGCCCGGTAGGGTGACTGTTCGATTTAGTGTTTTGTGTTGCGCAATGCTTATATTGAGTTTGTCGTGGTGTTTCTCTGAACCGAAGTGAGGCTGTGTGGACATGCAAAAATCTGACAATGGGAGACGTGTTTGAAACTCCACGTGGCCCACCGTGCTCAACATTGTACCCCTCCATGCTCGAACCGCATAACATCCAACTCAACGAATGAATGCTGGACATTCTTTCGAACCGCATGTAAACAAAAAGTTCACAATAAAATTGAACTAGGATGAGCAAGCCCAACCTATCGTACTCCCACGAAGAGCTCTGTGCCTCCTGTCATTGATCATTCCTGCTGCTGAGAGTTTTCCTCACAGCAGTCTCTCACCAGCCCAGCTCGTCACGCTGGCGTCCGCCGCCTCTCTGGCCTCTTTCGCCACTCGTGGGCTGTTATCCGCCACAGAGCGCAACCGCCGTGCATCGTCCCTGTCCAGGAGCCGTTATTGGGGCGAGTCCAGAGTATCCTTCTTCCGCCAGCGCTTCCACTCGCATCGTCTCACCATGGCGTCCGCCCAGCAGTACAGCGCGGAGGAGATTCACAAGATGTCGGACCATGAGAAGCAGGTAAAAGCGGCGCGACGCGGCCTTTTCATTTTCATTAACCGTTCTCTTTTTTCTTTCCCACTTTGCTTCGCCCTCCTGAGATTGTCTCGTTTCTGTGCCATTTTCAGAAGTAGTTTTTCATGTTCCGCTGCTGTGCCGTGATGTGCAGGACTTGGAACGTCGCGTGCAGGAAGGGGAGACGGTGGTGAAGGGCGGAACTGGAGGCAAGTCACTGGAAGCCCAGCTTCACCTGGCTGAAGGTAAACTCCGCAATTGAATTCGGTATAGTTACATCTTCTCGTTACTAGCCTTTAAAAACTGCCCACTGCCAGGGTTTACAGCCCGAGCGGAATTCACCGCTGGTCGTCTGTACCGTCGAATTTCTCACGTCGTGTGTGCGTGCGTGCACGAGTACGTGAGCAGGCCGTCACAAGGGAGGCGAGAGGGGCGGGCAGGCGCGCGCGGAGCAGATTGGCAGCGAGGGGTACCAGGAGATGGGGCGCAAGGGCGGGCTGTCCACCCTGGAGCAATCCGGCGGAGAGGCTGCTGCCGAGAAGGGTATTGACATTGACGAGTCTAAGTACCGCACTAAGTAGAGCTATTCAGTGGTTTCCATGCGAAGCAGCCCGCCCTTTTTTGTGTGTAGTTGCGTTCGGGTGTGGTTGTAAACTGGGAGTCTGCATGGTGGTAGTGCCTGGTGATCCTTGATTAGGATGTGTGAAGTCAAAACCTGTACATATAAAGAGTCTTCGTGTATTCAGTTGAATCAGTTACAAAGTACACTCTTGTTTCACTACGACTTGAGCAGGGCATGGGTCGCACGAGGGGGGGCATGCTACAGCAGGAGGGGGGACGCAGTCTGCTGCAGCAAAGCACCAGTACACGTTTGAGGAAGTAAACAAGATGCCTGCAGACCAGCGCAAGGTGAGTTTCTTCTTGCCCAGTGCCTGGAGTACTGGACTGCTGATGCCTTGTAGAGAACGCTTTACTCAAGCCTTCCACACATTCACTCCCATTGCTTTACTACATGCTATGCTCACCGCTGTACGGCCCCTGCTCTTGTCTTACAAATCTGTGCTTGCCTGTGCTGCGTGCCTGGTTGGGAAATCAGGAGCTGGAGAAGCGTGCAGAGGCAGGAGAGACAGTGGTGAAGGGCGGAACTGGGGGCAAGTCCCTTGACGCCCAGCTGCACCTGGCTGAAGGTAGGACCATGACTCATGACATACGGTACTCTTTTTGAGTCTGACTCAATTTTTGAGTCGACTAAAATATCGACTCTTTTTAAGTCGACTCAAAAATCGGCTGAAGGTAGGACCATGCCTCATGACATACGGTACTCTTTTGTTCACCTTGTTACTTGCGGAGTTTTGGGCGCCATAATGATCTGCCTGTTGGTTGGAGCAAAAGCTGCTGCTCATACCTTGCTGCTGACTCTTCTGGGGTCGTCTGCTGTTCGCTCTGCCCTTGCAGGACGTCATCGTGGTGGGGAGAGTCGCAGGCACAGGTAGATTGGCACAGGTGAATTAAACAGATAGATCATCCCACCCACCACCCACCTGCTGTCTAGCAACCAGCGTCCTCCCATCCTCTCCGTGCTTCGGCGCCTGCTGCATTGTACATGGCTGCGTTGGTCATGGCTGCGTTGGTCATGGCTGCGTTGGTCATGGCTGTGTTGGTCATGGCGTAAAGGCAGTTTGCGTTGATGCTGCCTAGTGTAAATAGTCCACAGTAGCTGTGAATAACAGGGTATTGTGTAGAGCCAGACAAAAGGGGACACGGAAGTAGTTTTGTTGGCAAAATTTGGAGAAGTAAATCTGTGTCACAAATCTGTGTAGAAGAGATAATAGCTGCCAAGGTGAACAATGCATATGCAAACATGTAATATCTTCCATCCCCCAGACGCTCCCACCTGTTGACACTGCAACTTCGGGTAAGGGGAGAGGGGAAAGTACCTGGATTGCCATGTATGCGCTGCAATTTTACCCTGATCGCGCTTGCATTGGCGCACTGTTAAGGGTGAGGAAAAGACTGTCAAAGGGGGATGGGGAAAAAGGGTCAAGGAGGAACGGATGAGGGGAAGAAGTCTAGATGAGGAAAAAAAGGAATGAATCGCCGGCGCCGGAGATGGTTGGTGCGCAAACCAGCTGTTCTGTTCGCTCCGGTTTGCCAACCTCCCCACCCCCCCCCCCTCTCCCACATGATTTTGAACACGGGCACACAGCCGAATCCTTCCGTCTCTTTTCCTCGTATACAGAACGACAAACCATAACGCGTAGAAACACACGGACGCTCGATCCACGTGTGCGCAATCCGCAAATGCTCAACTCACGAAGACGGACAAAGAAGAAGGACGATGACGAGGCGGCACGGAATAGAGTCCAGCTCTGAGCCGCGCAGCATGCGGCCGCTGGAGCGTCACGCTGCGGCGCTGCGGCGCTGTGGATGATCCGTCAGCATTCATTTTTTAGACGCCTCAAAAACAATTCATTCGCGGCGAATAATCCTCGTAGAGGCAGGTTCCACTCCACATCGCCACGCAAGTTCTACTCCTACTAGTATTAGCAGGCCCACTTTTGCGGCCCGCGTTCTTTGCTAATCGGTTCGGAATCTCGCCACGCCGCGACCAAGGCATGTCGCGCCCGCCCTGGCAGCTTCCCTCGCAGCAGGCTGAAAGGCGAGTCTGCGAGTCCACGAGTCTACGATTATTCCCCGCTCTCGCGCATTCGGAATGCGCGCAGTGAGAACGCTGGAATGAGAATAGGATGACCAATCGCAGCGGCGCGCAGAATCTAAAAATGGAATGTATCCAACCGCCCTCAGAGCATCTACCCCCTAAATCGCTCCATCCGCCCAGCCTCCGCTCTGCCCCATGCCTCGCGCACCCCTCTGCGCGTGTGGATGCGCGCACCTTCTCCGCCTACACACTCGTGGCGGGCAGCTGTTTCCGCGTGCAGCAGCCCCGTGTTTCTGCACGCAGAATGTGCTCAGTCGATCGGGACTGACAGCAAGGAGAGGTGATCTCAAGAACAGCTAGAGCCTGAAAATTGGATCTCGAAATGAGATGTTTCGCATGAGGACGCGGCACATGTTTTCATTTTGCCAGGATCCGGGAAGGATCGAGACCTCACATCGATCCTGGCACATCGATCGGCACACCGATGTGCCCACACTGCAAATTTGCAGTGGGGTAGACACATCGAGCTATAGGTGCCAGGATCGAAAGTGCAGGGTCGGGCAGGTTGGAGCTGCGTCGGAACAGCAACACACTGCAACGCGCAGCCAATCAGGGCAGAGCGTGGTTGGTCGCCCAGCAATTTCATTCGCAACGACTCGAGAATTTTTTGCCTGCGACCGTGGGCGACGCCGATCGATCGTGGCTGTCACCCGTGGCGCGATATGCTCTCCCGCCAACCCAAACGCACGATCGATGTGTGCACCATGGCACATCGATCGTGCGAGCTGCAGGTGCCACCATTTTGGGTACCCGTTTACTATACATCTTCGACGTCCTGCGAAAAACGGATACCAGGCATTGGCGACGTCGCCAGTTCACTACAAGCGGCACATCGATCCCCTTCCACGATCGATCCTGGCAAATTGAAAACAGGTGCCGCGTCGTGTATGGCCGCAAGCAGCGTTTTGTATTCACAAGTGGTGATTCGGTTTGCACAATTGTGGAGGCTGCACCTTTTCAGTCCAGTGTTTTTACTTCTATGACCTGCAATGTTTCAAGCAACTTGCAATTCATCTACTATCGAAATCACATTCACTTTTATCGGCTGCTGCTAATTTAGAGCAACGTTAGAGCAACGCTCTCAGCTCAACTAGTAAAATGGAAAAAGATTCAGGATTCACATTTGTTTCCTTATGGTTTTAAACAGGTATTGATTGATCCGTAACACACACAATCACCGTTCCTTCGTGAGGTAGCCCTTCACGTGGATGGAGTAATGGCGTCGCGTCATAGAATGGCAGACAGGGTATGTGGCTCTCTATGGAGCACGCGAAATTTCACTGTTCGAGTAGGGTCACAACAATGTCCCAAGTGGAGATTTGCAATCCTCAATTTGTGGTTCCAAAGCTGCTTCTTCCCACATGCTGTACTCATTGTTATCCACCTAGTTGGTAATTTCGACCACCAATTTGTCCATCGTTGGTACAGAATTCAAGCACCATTGATTGTGTTCCCATATTGTTTGGAATATCAGAGGCTTTGTGTGGCTGTTATTGTACGCATGTCTCCGAATTGGATGCCAATGATGGCAGGCGCTTCCAAGCTGAAGAAGCACAAAATTTGGATTGATTAAACGTTCGCCAGCGTCTCCTTGTCGCTTGCGCCAATGTTCTTTTATCCTTTCTAGTATGCCTTTGTCTATCTGGTGTGCAACCACAGCATGTTCTCGTGGAAATGTCATACCACCTACAGTTGGTATGCTAGCAGGACACCACGGTCAATTTCTCTTTCAAGCCCGTAAAAGAACCACACGCGTGGGTCTCTCCACCAGGAAAAATTGCCACTTTGCCAGCAAAATACCTAGATTTTGAATTTTCAAATGTCCCAGAAAATGTCGGATATGTACAGAATGACCACTGTGGTTGGCTTCCAGGCTCCACACTGTGCATTGTGGTCCCAATGCCTGATTCCATTGCGAAAGCGTCGAGAACCCCTGTCACGAGCTCATGATTGAGACTGAGTCACGCACCGGTGGTTTTTGGGGCTTGCTAATGACGCAATATTATAAGATGACTTTTGAATCGCTTTGAGCTTTGACAGCTACTTTCTGGCTGGAACTCTGTGGTACACTTTTCGATTGCCAGCTTGTTTAACAAAAGATGTACGTAATTAGCACAATTGCAACTCAGTTCAGTGGAAACAGTTAGGCATCTGAAATGCCGCTCCTTTCCAGCCAGACCGGGAAAGGGGAAACCGCGAGGCAGCGGCAGCCACATGGAATGCCGACGAAAAGACGCGGCTCGGAAATACTGCCTGTCTCTGCCAATGCCAACCAATTTCAAATTTCCATTCCCCTCCTCCCCAGAGTCCCCTCCCCTCGCTCTTCTACTGTAGTCATCTCCTCCCACAGATGTGGCCCAACCTCCTCCACCCTCCAGCATCCCTTCTGGTGCTATTTTCTGCGCTCCGATGCTCTTTTGTGCGTCAGAACAGAATCCGTTGTCCACTCACACTGCACCTAGCCACAGCAGCTTCTATGTTTTGCCGTTGATTTCCCGTAGTACTGTGTTACATGCTGTCTGCCCTAGCTTCACATCCTCAGCTAGCTCCACTTATCGCGCAACCCACTGAAATCTGGACAATCCGAAGCTCCAACCCTCCTACTTCGTCCCATTCACCTCCGTACAACGTCGGCCGCGCGTTCGTTGAAATAAACCAGCCTCATTCCCCCACAGGACAGCTCACTACTCAGACTAACAACCACTGCACTGGTGGCGCGGTCGGGTTTTTACTCTCTTCGGAGTCACCATGGAGAGCGGCTTGCTCCTCGACATTATATCATCTCCCACGCTCGTGATGTCTCCGCCCATTCCCACCAAGGCCTCGGCAGTCTCCCTCGTGGCAAAGCACAACCAACGCTCCGCTTCCGGCGCTCCCAGCGCGAAGCGCCAGCGCTGCTCGGATGGAAGCGTTGCCGCGGAGGCGTCAGCGGAGAAGGCGGCGGATATGTCGCGACCGAAGTCTTGCTTTATAATGCTCCAGGAGGACGGGGACGATGAGATAACTGCTGCGGATATCGCGTGGTGCGACGACGGAAGCTACGTGGAAATAGACACTGACGCACTTTTCGCTCTTGATGAAGAACCGTCGGCGAAGACTCGGAGCGCTCACGACAGCGAGCAGCTGTCGGAGGAGCTGTCGCATGAGAACCTCGGAGCTTCGCATGCGTCGCACGCGTCGCATGAACGGCAGGGGAATGGCGGGAGTGGCAGCAGCAGCGAGAGCGGGGAGACGTTGAGCGAGAAGCAGAACAAGAGCGGCGAGGAGGGATCCACGAAAAAGACGGGCAAGGAAGGGCGCAGCAAGCGCAAAGTCAAGGTGAGGGAAACCGGAATCAGTAGTAAGGAAGTACTAGGTCTTAAGAATCGCGAACAGGAACACGTATAATCAGACGTCCATCCATTGCTTAAAACTTCCCAACTTGCCCTCATGTTTTACATTGGGCAGATGAGACCCGGTCACACCAGCGTCACATTCATACCGCCACGACCACAATGCCTCACGCTTAAGCTTAACCTTCTTACCACCATTTCCCCTCCCTGCCGTGCCCTGTGTCTCCTTCGCCCTGGCCTCGCATCACCTGCGCCTCGGGAATGGCAGGTGGATTGGACTCCCTCCCTACACCGCAAGTTCGTGCAGGCGGTCGAGGCGCTCGGCGTCGAGCGCGCGATCCCGTCGCGCATCCTCGAGCTCATGGGCGACGCGGCTCTCACGCGACACAACATTGCCAGCCACCTCCAGAAGTACCGCTCGCACCGCCGCCACTTGCTCGCCAAGGAGGCGGAAGCCGCCACCTTGCACGCGCGCGCGCCGGCGCACGCGCCGCCCCCCGACCCCAGCTCCTGGACTCCACTCCGCCGAGACGGCACCGCGTGGGTGCCCGCAAGCGTCGCGTCGAGCGTTCTCAGTCCGCGGAGTTCCTCCGCTACCGCTGGCGCGTCCGCTTGCGCGGCCTCCGCCATCGCCGCGGGCTCGTCCGCCAGCGGCGCGGCCAGCGCGGCGGGTTCTGCAGCGGCAGCCGCGACGTCGCCTGTCGGGATTTCAGCTGCGCAGACGGCGGTGGGCATTCCCCCTGCGCACGCCGGCGCAATGGCAGCGGGCCACGCGGGTATAATGTCCCCAAGAGGCAACGTAGCTGTGGGTTCCCGCGGACGTTCCCCCAGTCCTCCGCCGCGCACGCGGGAATGCCCGCGCACCTCGCTGGCGCGGGGGTTGGCGGAACGGCCCCCGGAATGCTCCCTGGCGGAGGACGCGTTGTGATCGGGCGACCCGTCAATGGCGCATGCGGCCCGCGCTCCCTCCTCCGCGTGATGCCTTCCGCCAATGGCGCGCCCGCCTCCGGTACCGCCGCGGGAACCCCGGGGATGAGCGGAACCATGCTGGGCATGCCGCTGCACCTCTGGGGGCGATCCCCCGCGCGCGCGGAGCAAGCCAACGCGAGCGCGCGCGGATGGGGGAGCCTTCAAACAGGAGTACCCGCGCACAGCTCCGCGGGTGGCGCCGGGGGAAGCGGAACTGTCATGATGGCGGGAGCCCCGTCGAGCGGAGGATGGTACGGAAATGGCGGCATGGGCGGCGGCGCTCCGACGGGTTACCACCACCACCAAGGATACATCCATCCACAGGCGCCGCAGGCGCAGCAGGGGTATCCCATGGGCATGCATGTGGACGCATGGGGTCGACCCATGGCTTCCATGCCGCCCCAGCAGCAGCAGTACCCGCAGCAGCTGCAGGCATCTCCGTACATGTCCTCTTCGTCGTCCTCTTATGGCATGCCGTATCACATGAGTTACCCCATGCCTTCTCCTGACGCCTCTGCCGCTGCTGCTGCTGCTGCTGCTGCTGCCTCTGCTCCTGCTGCTGGTGGTCCGTATTCCAGTGCCATGTTGGTTTACCCTGGAGCAGCAGCAGTAGGGGGTCCGCACCCCCAGCACCCCCAGCAGCAGCAGCAGCACAATCAGCATCATGGTGCCGCGCCGTTCGCGTGCTCGTCGCCGTGCTCGTCCCTGGGGTCGCTGCCTGGGTTCCCTGCAGCCAGCAGCAGCACCGCCACCACCTCGCACTCCGCGCACACCTGCTCCGATGCCAGCCACTGCTGCTGCTGCTGCCACTGCTGCTGCTCCGGCACCTGCTGCGGAAGCGCCAGCAGTGACAGTAACATCAGCGACGGTCGCCGCGGCGGGAGGTCTGGCAGAAGCGGCACCAAGTGATTTGCCTGCTGCTGCTACCGCTGCTAGTGCTGGTGATAACAAGCCTGATTCTGATGCTTGCGCTGGTGCTGCCAGTGATGCGGCCACAAAAGGGGAAGACTGTGCTGCTGGGACGCAGCAGCAGCAGCAGCAGCAGCAGGCAAAGGAGGCGGGGCCGGAGCAGCAGGAGCAAGTCCAGCAGGTGAAGGAGGAGCAGGGAGAAGCAGAAGAAGAGGAAGAGGACCCCGAGGCCTTATTTGCCGACTCTCTATTCCACGACCACGACGACCTTTCGCTGCTGCTGCACCTGCCCTCCTCGCCCGCGCACGACCCTAACAGCACCGCCGATGCTCTTGACCTGCTCAACCACTTCCCCTCCTCTGCTGCCCACGCTAGCGCTGCCATGGGCTTGGGCTCTCGATCGGGCACAGGCATGGGCATGGCGGGCATGGGAATGAGCATGGGCATGGGTGCGGGGATGGGTACAGGCATGGGTATGGGTATGAGCATGGATGCAGCTTTGAGCCACCTGATGTGGACTGAAGGGTACATGGGGGGGAGCGGCGCGGAGAGTGATGAGGAGCTTGCGGAGTGCAAGCCAGTCAACCCTGTGTGTCTCAAGCCCATCGCGCCACCACAGCCCACGCGACCCACTCATGTGCTGTAACATCCCCTCGTCATCCTCCCGCTGCTACACCAAAGCCCTTACCTGCACTGCTGTATAGTCCTCTGCTCCGCCCTAGACCCTGGTCATGCATGACTTGAACTAGGGTGTGTTGGCTCCTCTTTGCGCCTCTCTGCCTTGCTGCATTGCACTCCCTGCCTCAGTCTTGAGGTGGCTCAGTACTCGTGTCGCTCTCATGTTGCTTGTAGGGTAGTACTATTGTAGTAGCTCTTGGCATAGGCACAAGCCTTACAAATCAGCAGTGAATCATGCTATGTACAGTACCGTACAGCTGTTCTTTCCAAAATGATGCAGTCATGGCAATAAGCTGATGCCTAGTCAACCTTGATTTTGCCAGAAATGGGTGTCACGTGTCCCTGCTCGAATGAAGAGAACTGAAGTAAACCGAGCTGAACCTATGGCAATCCCTCCCCCCACCGCAGCAGCAGAGCATTGGTGAAGCACATAGCAGCGCGAGTGAGCCCTGGCTGCTCATTCTCCCTCGGCCCTGCCACATTCACCACACGTGCCTGCTGCTGCTCCAGCCACACGCACACCCTCTCCACCACGCCTCTCATCCTCTCCCCCTCACATGCTCCCTTTCGAGTCGACTCAAAAGTCACCACGCCTCTCATCCTCTCCTCACATGCTCCCTTTCTCCTCCCCTGCCATCGCCTGCAGCATACCTTGCTGCTCTCCCTATGCCCCTGCTGCTGTTTCTGCTCCTCGCACTGTTCAGCAGCATCGGCGCGACCACCATCCGGCAATGTACGATCAACCCCATGACAGCTTCCCATGCAGCAGCAGCAGCAACAGCAGCAGCAGCAGCAGCATGGAGGCAGCACTGCCACCATACACGGCCTGCCATACCTGGCTGCCAGCTGCAGTGTCAGCCCCGTGCCTGCACTCACCTGCTGCACTCGCCCCACCGCCCCCTCTCGCACCCGCTCCCCCTTCTCACTCCCACTTCCCCTCCGAGGAGCAAGAGACGGAGAAGCAGGAATCCTTCCCCTCTCCGTCCTCTTGCCAACTGCCCAAACAAACCCTCCTGCTTCTCCTGCTTCTTCTGCTTCTCCTGCTCCTCCTGCTCCTCCTGCTCCTCCTGCTGCCCCTGTCTCTCCTAGTCCTCCTACTTCTCCTTCCTCGCCTGCCTCCCACGAGCCCTGCAGCAGCAGCACCAGCGTCACATCACCGTCCGCCACATTCCGCTCCGTCCGCGCACCGTATTCCGCCTGCGGGAGCTCCGCCAACCGCTCCGCCAGCTCCCGCGGAATTTCCCCGTCCTCCGCGCGCCGGCCCTTGGGGCAGCTTCCGCCGAACGGGACGCCGAGCGCGCGCGCGGCCATGAGCGCCCCGCGATCCGCGCCGGTTTGCCCGCCAGATATGATGCGAGGGCGCGGACGTGACATGGCGAACCAGCTGGCGCCGGTTTATCCGCTAAAACGACTGACCAGCGAACCTGCGAACAAGCTAACTCGTGGTAAAACGGAGAAGAGGCGAGCCGGCGAAACCGTGAAGCGAGGCGGTGAGGAGCAAAACGAGCATAGCCTCCAGCGCAAGCGTTGCCGAAGGACGCGTGGGTGTCGCGTTGCTGGCGCTGGGATGCGGTTCGCCCTCAGACTCGCCCCGATTCAGTTGAATTGATAGCTGCGCGCCAAGCGCGAACACTAGTTTATGTACACATCCAATACTGTGGTCGAATACACAAAACATACTGTTAATACTGAAAATTAATGATGGCTCCATTTCTGTATTTCAAACGTTATGAAAAAGCATCGCCTCTAAAGTCGAGCTGACGTCCACAAGCATAGCAACAGGAATATTTAGACAAGCAAACTACTACTACACCACACCTCTGTGTTCCGCTGGCGGGGCGCCGCACGAGCACTTGCGCGCGAAACCGTGTACTTAGTTGGAACTGCAGTCCATAAAGCAGTAACAGCAGTCCGTTCTAGGAGGTGGCTGCGCCTTATGGGGGACGATGAATGGGCAGCAGAGTTAACCATACTTCCCTGTGTAGGCATGCGCACACTGACCGCATGAGACACACGCACACACACATACTCATGAACACGCATTCACACATACTCGTGAACACGCACACACGGCGTGCATGCACACGCATGTGCACAAACGCAGCGGCTGCAGCACTCTAAGTTAACATTGCCGGAGGGGTGAGAGGGCCGTCAGAGCTCCATTGAGCCCAGCTGAAGTACCATGTGATGCCTGCTGCAGCCGGTGCTGGCTGCGGTGCTGGTGGCGGGGGCAACGGAGGCAGGTACTGCGTCCACAGCTGCACCACCTTGCCCCTGTCTGTCTCGGTGGCTGGAGGGCGAGATAGCACAGCACCATACATGCACAGATACGTGCACAGATACAACGCACGAACGGCAGACAGCACGCATGGAACACGCACGCGCAGGATACATTGAGATAGACCCAACATGCTGGAAGTACGTGCACAAGCTGCAAAGTGACTCGTAGGGTCCATCACCATTGCTTCAGCATGATGCACACAGCAGGAAAAATACCACCTAGTGTTGCCTCTCCCCAATCCCTCCATCCCTTCCCTCCCTCTCTCCCTCCCCCTCCCTTCCCTCCCCCTCTCCCTCCCCCTCCCTTCCCTCCCCCTCTCCCTCCCCCTCCCTTCCCTCCCCCTCTCCCTCCCCTCCCCCTCCTGCAGTTCCCCTCACTCACCGGTGTTATCAAGAAGCGTGTACGAGCCGCGAGTGATGACGTGATAGGGGTTCTGCCCCTTGATGGGATAGCTGCCGACCTTGTACTTCACCACCACCACCTCCTCTATTGTCACCGCCACCGTCGACCCGCTCGCCACGAAATCCTGTGAAGGGGTGGAGAGGGTGGGTGGGTGGGTGGGTGGGTGGGCGCAGGGAGCACTGAGCGGGTGGAATGGAGAGAGAGAGAGAGGGTGAAGGACGCTGGGATTGAGACGATGGGAGAAAGGCGACTTGAGTGAGACGATGCGAGACGAGATGGGGCGGGGGGGGGGGGGGGGACGAAGACAGGCGAGATCAAGGCGAAGGGGGAGGTTGTGGGAGAGGGAGATAGCACGAAAAAAGAGGGGAGTGGGTGTTTGAAGGAGCATTGGGACGATGGGTGAGCAGATGGGAAAGACAGGGAGTATGGGTGGGGATGGGAGGGGCGGGAGAGGGGGGGAGGGGAGAGAGGACTCTAGAACAGTTTATTCAAACATAAAACAACTAAATAAAAGACGACACAACATCGCGTCTCCGCCCATTCCCTCTCCGCAACCCGTTCCTATCTCCCCACACCAAGCACCCCTCACCCTTGCCCCCCTCTCCGCCCCCCCCTCCGCCCGTTTGTTCCTCCCCCACCTCCCGCGCGCTCTCACCCCCAGCAGCTGCAGAATCTGCGGGGTAGTCGCCAGCATCAGCGCGCGCGAGCCCGGAGGCAGCAGCAGCGTCGGCTCGCCGGGCGGCCCGAACAGCCGGCTAGCACCCAGCAGATCCCCCGACGCGAGCGCGTTAAAGAACGCTTCGATGGACGCTTGAATGCCGACCAGCGCTGACCCCGCGTCCGGCCGTATCGGCCTCGGCCCGCCGCCGATCGCGGCGGCCGTCGCCGCCGCCTGCGCCTCCGCGAACCATGCCGCCTGCATTTCCGCCTCCAAGTCCGACCGCGCCGCGCGGGGGAAGAGCACGGACGCGCCGCCGGTCTCTCCGCGGAGAAGCGCCTCGCGAAGGCCCTCGCGGATGCCGTCCGCCGCCGCGGGGGATGGGGGGTGCGGAGGGGTCGGACGGGGCGGAGGCGGAGGCGGCGATTTCTTGGGCGCGGGAAAGTCGTAGTTCCACGCCATCCAGCTAACCGCCCAAATGTAGAGCGAGTTATCGGCCGCGTCATCGGCGGAGTTAACGGCCGCGTTATCACCCGCGCCGCCAGCAGCGGCAAGACCGTCGTCGCGCACGAGGTCCCAGAGGAAGACGAACTTAGCGGGGCCCTGCAGGGTCCACATGGAGCCGAGCGTCGCGATGGAATAGTCCAAGTAGCGCTTCGGCGTCGGCTCGTACACGTCGAGGCGCGTGACGGCGAACGTCGCGCCGACCAGATCTTGACGCTGCTGCAAGAAGACGGCTTGGGAGACAGGATCGGGGAGGTACTGTAGCGGTTGGTCCGGCGGGAGCACGAGCGCGAGCGGCGCGAAGAGCTCCCGGGCGGCTTTTTCGTAGTTGCCGGCCGCGAGGCGCGCCGCGGTGCGCGTGAGCAGGTTGGAGATAAATTTCACGGCGACGGACACCTTGGGATCGCCGAGAATCTTGCTGCGAACATTGACGGCTGAGGATGCATCTTGCGGGTTCTCCAGTGCAGGGGAGTGGAGGCCGACGGAGGGATACGTGGTGGTGTCTAAAGCGTTGCTGCTGCTCGAAGCAATCAGCAACATTGCGAGAATGAGGGGGATAGACGACGCGCGTTCCGCCATAGCTGCAGGAGGAGAGCCAGATCGCACGCAGCTGTGTGACCCCCCTAATAGACTGCTTATTAGTGACTATCCCTGCTGAGAAGTGACTTGCGTCGTAATAAGCGAGCGGAGGGAGCGGAGGGAGGGGAGGGAGGGGAGGGAGGGGAGGGAGGGGAAGAAGGGGGGTTGTTCGGAAAGGGGAATGGAGGGAGGTTAGGGGCATGCAGGAGTCAGGTCAGGACCGAAGGGCAAAGGGGGGAGGAGAGGGGGAGGGGAGGTGGGGGTGAGGGAATGACTTGGCTTGCATGCGGTCAGTGACTGACTGACATGCGCCCTCCGGTGGGCCTTTTGTGGCGCACGACGGGGGGGAAGGAAGACACGCGCTTCGCATAGCGGATGGGCCTGGGGGTGTGGGGACTTGCGCCTGCCCAGCCTGCGGCAGCATTCACCGAACAGTGGTGACGGCAATGCGAAATGTCCTTGTGGCTGCGTGCAGAGAATCTCGTGCGTGTTGTGAGAAAATGCTTCACCAACGAGTTTGAGTAACTGGAAAAAAATTTGTATATACCTTAAATCGAGATATCGTATAGAAGATACGTACAAATCCTTCTGTGAATGGTGTCATCATTTGTGCTGTGGTTGCGTCAGCAATCCCCCAGAACGAGAAATGAGGTCCATGTCAGGTGGTGGGATGGCACATCCCCATTGGTTGTGTTTGAGGATTGCTCATTGGTCGACTCGAAGTGTTGACACAGAGCTAGCCTGTGTGGCAGTCCCCGAATATTTCGGATTCTTGATGGGAGCGTCTGGGCCAAAATGCTAGCAAATTCTGGTTTCCGCTGCACTTACCCAGGACCCACACTGAAGCTGTTGTTGGAGGACCTCAGTTGTTGTCAGTGACAACAGCGCCTGGGCTTCGGGGTAACCTTCTATAACAACCATACCAGGAATATTCCAGAAACATGCAACACGGGCTTTTTCGGGGTGGCTCGTGTAAACCAGATCACTGTGTTGTTGGGCACTGGCGAAATCCACAATTCGACGGGGCATTGCCTGGCCAACCAGCACTTCTAGGGTTGTGTCCAAGCCAGGTCATGCTGCACCTTGGGAGGAACCAGGGCCAAGTTGATGTGCTTCCAACCGCATTCCTCTCCATCATATGTTGCACTTGACATAGCATACGTATGAGCTTCTAGTTTCACTACTTCTGACGTACACCATGGGTCGACCATTCAAGCACTACCTCCAAGGCGCCCGTATTTACAGCTGTAGCAATTGTCGTAGTCACGCTGCGGACCACGACGAAATTATATCAAAATCTTTTCAGGTAAGTCATCTGACGTCGCTTCTAATGGTTCCACCTTTACGCGCCGTGACGCGCCTAAATTCTGACAAAAAGTCATTGATTTTGGTGGGCGCAGGGACGACACGGCAGGGCGTATCTTTTCTCAAACGTTGTGAATGTTATGGTAGGTCCCAAGGAAGACAGGCTGCTTATCACGGGACTGCACACAGTGGCTGATATTTACTGCGCTGAGTGCCATGAGGTCCTCGGGTGGAAGTACGAGAAAGCCTACGAGGACTTGCAGAAGTATAAGGAGGGAAAATTCATCTTGGAGAAGGCCAAGCTGCTGAAAGAGAACTGGTGACGGTCATCCTCCTCTTCCACCCTGACCTGGCGGATTTGGTGCCAAAGTGTCTGGGGAGCAGGAGAGAGGAAGAGCTTACCTTGTATATTTCTGTACATTCTTAGACGCCCAATTGCATGTGTACATATTGTAGATGTTCATGGGTCCGTCCTTAGTTTGATAATGTTTTCCAATCAGCCCATTTGTTGCGTGCGAAATTTTTCAGTGCATTCAAACGCATAAATAATTTGGGCCAACAAGTATGGTAATTGATAACTTGACATGATCTGCCCATTTCGCTAAATATCACCTTGTGCAGGCCTTGAGGAGAATTTATAGCACATTGCTTGTTTGTAACCTACAACTAGTAAAATCTAAGTGTACACAGCGACAACATCCACCATGCAATTTCAAGAGCTCGAAGCTGGACCTTTCACGTGCCATCTCTAAGCTGGCCGTTGACATCCATCCTTTTGACACAACGACGCATCCACGGCTGTCGTGCTCCACACGTGGATGGCTTGGGACAGCTGAACTGGAGTGTTGGCCCAGTTCTTCAAAGGAGGCGGAGGCAGAACCAATCAGAGTGAACTTGCCAGCCTCAAAGGTATCGATTGGGTTTTTGACGAAGCGTCACACATCAATCACCAAGGGCGCCTCGAGTCCTCGACCACTGGGTTGGGTGATCCCCCCAGTTCCACTCAACCTGCCCAGCCTCACACAACGATGTCTCCGATCAGCGGGCTCGGTTCGGTTCCTCTACCTCGATCCAACCCTGAGCCAATTGCTGGGAGTATATGAACCTGTCGGCCGTCACTGAATTGTGGCTCACTCCTCTTCATCGGTCACAGTGGTCGTCACTCCCTGAATCATATTTTCTGCCATGGCTTCCACTGCAAGCAGATGGATTAAGCCCGAGGTCAGTGTTGGGGTTTGTCTTCTATGTGTTGGGGTTTGCCTTGCCATTAGTAATGTCGGACTCACCCCTGCGTGTGATGATTCCCTCTTCAACAGGTTTACCCGCTCCTCGCGGCAGTGGGAACTGCAGCTGGGCTATCCATTTTCGCACTGTCACGGAAGATTATCGCGGATCCTGGAATCAGGTACGATGCAGGATTGTGCTCCTTCAGACTGCTCCGTCTCGACATTTCGTCATGCCAGTGCTTTGCTGGCAAGTGGTTCACGTTCTTCCTCTGGTGCGTGTTACTTTTGCAGTGTGAACAAAGAGGTCAGAGCCCATGGCATGGCTGACGATTTGAAGCAAGGTCAAAGATACAAGATGAACTTCGTTAGAAGAGCAGTGGCTGATCGTTCTCCAGAGATCATGCCTGCTTTCAACCGGTGGTGTATTGGCACTCCGAAGTAAGCGTATTTTTTCCCGCGGAGGGAGACGACTTTGTCTTATGTATTCATTGCATTCTAAACGTGCTAAGCCCACGAAAGCTGACCATGTTGAATTCGGACACAGCGTGTTTGCTAACTGAGCATCAGCACCCTCCTAAACCTTTCAAGAATTTGAACATCGTGAACAAGTGCTTAAAATGTGAATCTGCTACGAATGTTACAGAAAATACAGCTACAGTACTAGGATGAAATACAAGACAATACAGCTCATGCTGTCATTGTGTGGAAACGATGATGCCATGTCAAATTCTGCATGTGACCATTCCTGGTTCATTTATACAGAAATCTTGCCTCCTGAATCTTGAACCGGAGGGACCCTCCATTGCTCCTCACTTCTTCTGAAACCGATGGGTCGATCACTACCTCGTTTTCCAGCTGACGTGACTAAAACATCTTACGAGGATAGGGGATCAGGACTAGAGGTCTTCTCTATCTGTGGACATCAGAGAGAAGCGCATTAAACAGTTATTTGAAGTTGGCTACCATTAACAGTAAATTGAATTGGTTTTCATTTTCCCTGCAAGATGAAATATTGGAACTTTAACTTACATTCCCAAGGTTGCTCATCGAGAGCATAACGCGAGTTACTGTAATGTAGCACGCTCTTCTTGCTCATCTCTTAATCACGAACAATGGATGGAGAGCAGTCTTTGAAGACAGGACAATCAACACATCTGCAGGAAAAACTTTTTACGTTGCCAGTCACGCGCACTTTTTACGTTGCCAGTCGAGCAAATGAGCAAGAATGAATTTCATTAGACAGTTTCAGAAGGATCAATCGTATCCACAAGGCTTCAGCCTGCTTCTACTCATATACCATCAAAAACATGCCCGATAGACCTAACGAAAATCCAAGATCACCATTTAATAGAGGCTGTCCTCCTGGTGGGTCTGGACGGTCAGGTCGGAGGTGGGGTAGGCGATGCAGGTCAGGACGAAGCCCTTGGCCATCTGGTCGTCATCAAGGTAGGACTGGCCAGACTGGTCAACGCTGCCGGCGGTGACCTTGCCGGCGCAAGACGAGCAAGCACCAGCTCTGCAGGAGTAGGGCAGGTCGAGTCCAGCCTCCTCAGCGGCGTCGAGGATGTACACGTCGTCAGCGACATCGACGGTGGAGGAACCGCTGGGGGTCTCGAAGGTGACCTTGTAGGTAGCCATGGAGACGCGGGCAGCGGAAGGAGCAACCTTGAAGGTCTTAGCGACGCTAGTCTTCAGGGAGGTCGAGGCCTTAAGGGAGGCCACGGGGGCGACAGCCATGGTAGCGGCGAGGGCAGCCATTTCTGAAGGTTTGAGGGTTGAGAAAGCTGCACGAGGGCTACACGAGGTTGGCTGATGAGGGATGGGCGTGACGTGAATGAGAAAGTGCCTCGGCACAAGAAATATGAGCTGCCAACACGAGGCTCAGCCTTCGGGAACATGGAATTGGTGCTGCCTATCTGGCACAAAGATTTGCCAGTGGCAAGGGATGGCGAAAAATGGATAGGCTCGAACCTTCAGAAGACGCCCACGAGAGGCCAAGAGTGGGCTAGGCTGCCACCTATGCTCATCCGCCAGCCACGTCGGTCGCACAGAAGGAAACGTGTGCACAACACTTTGAGAGGCGAACGCGGTAACGGTGCATGTTCCGTCGCGAAACGAGTTTGGGAGCTGCGTCGTGCACCAATCAACTTTCCAAGGCTGACAATCGACAGGATCACGTAAACATTTTGCGGCTGGTTGGGCAAAATTTCTAAATATACATGTCAACATGGGAAATCTATATGCGCAAGAAAATACATATACATCATAGAGAGAGACAACCGGGGAAATATTGCTACGTGATTGCTTCAGCAGAAACCGTAAAAAAATTAACAGTACAAACAAAATGAAGAATGTTCTATCCATGACATTCAGCTGCTCTACTGCATGTAGACCGATGTGATACTGCATGTGATATTTAACCAATCCATCTAGTGCCTTTTTCCCCATCCTCTTTGTTCTGTAATATCGCACAGCTCATTTCCCAGCTTCTTCCTCACACTCATGCAAAATTCACAAGCATACTTTCACCTTCATCCGAAAATAGAATATAACAGCTCAAGCCAATTTGGAGTGGACTGGACCATTACTCTGTAAGAATGCTCATGTTGTTTCAAGCTCTTCTTGTTCTGCTTCAGTGTACTTGGCAGGAGTTTGCTGAGTCTTCAATTTATTGGATACTTTGTAGGGTACAGTACATGGCCCGTGGCGAATGTGTACCGTAAGCCCCCGGATAGAAGCGCAGGCCTCGGATAAGCGCCGGCGCTTATAAAAGGATGAGGGCGCTTATATCCGGTCCTCGATTATAAGCGCACCCCTTAAAAAATTCTGATTTATTATAAGCGCATGTCTATTTTTTAATCTGAAAATCAGTCGAAACGCAGAAACGAATTTCTCTTTACCAGGGAATCGAAGTACAGGTCCACTTTCCCACTCACATCACACTTGCTGCGCGTCTAGTCAGCACTTGCTGTCGCTTAGTCAGCATGTGTTGGCAGGGAATACATCCCTGCTACCGTAAGTTGCGCGAGAATCAGATTCGCGACCCCAGATATATTCGACTCGATTACAATTGGCAGAACAAGGTGTACAGATTGGTGTAATAAAAATATAAACTTGCTTTGCCATTTTATAAGCGCCGGCTCTTATAAAATTCCTCAATTATAAGCGCACCCCCCTAAAAAACAGTGTTTTTTTATACCCCCAGGGGCGCTTCTATCCGGGGGCTGACGGTATCGTTGCTTTGAGAACCAGTATTCGTTGCTGGTCCCATATGACTCTCAAAGAGGTGTGAAATTCTTGAAAAACTGAAGGCACAACCAGCAAAAAGTGTCTACAAGGAGTGCCAGCCTCACTCCACGAGTGCATGCACGTATTCGCTATAGTAGAACGTGCGCTCGATAAAGCGACCGACAAAATGGGCAGCCACAGCAAAAAGCAGAGCCCCAACGGCAAGAGGCACAGCAATGCCAAGGGAAAAAGGCAGCCGTTGCAGAGCAGAGAGGGTGGGGAGCAGGGCGAGGAGAGCAAGGCAGGCAAAAGCAGCGGCCCACAACGCAACTCGCACGCGAGACGCGAGGCGCTGGGCTGACTGGCATGACTTGCAGATGCTGATGTGGCTTACCTGCCTGCTCAGATGCAAGGAGGGACAGAGGAGTACAGAGACAACAGCGGGGCAGAAAAACAGGGAAACAGATGGGCAGAAAAACAGGGAAACAGATGGGCAGAAAAACAGGGAAACAGATGGGCAGAAAAACAGGGAAACAGATGGGCAGAAAAGCAGGGAAACAGATGGGCAGAGAAACAGAGAAACAGAGGAATCTCTGCTGAGTAGAATGCTGCTGAGTGGAATGAATGTTTCAGAGTGGAATGCGTCAGAGTGGTCACCTGTCCATGACTTGCTGCTTGGGCAGTGCGGGTGGGAGCGCCGGGTTGACGTAGGAGGGCCAGGCGACCCCTCCCCCGGCGTAGTTGTCCATCCAGAAGCGGAACGCCGTCACGAACGCATCCGACCTCGTCGGCGTGAAGTATGCCTTGTTCGTGCTCACACTCACGCCGCTGCCATTGCTGCTGGTGGTGGTGGTGGTGCTGCTGCTGGTGGTGGTGGTGGTGTGAGACTTGGCACTTGTTCCTGCAGCAGCCAGCAGAATCTTTTCTTCTTCCAGTCTCCTCTCCTGAAGGCATGGAGAAAAGGGAACCAGGGGGCGTGTGGGGAGATTGGGGGCGTGATAGGGCGTGCATATGGTGGGACGTATGATCCCATTAAGGACCAAAGAGTATGCATTTCCTTCCCCCCTCTCGCCTCATTCTCACCAGCACGTGCAGGAAGTAGTGGTGCGTGAGGAGGCCCTACTACCCTTGCAAACCAGGTGACTTTTGAGTCGACTCTCAAGTGTCGTGTGCCATTGTAACGAGGTGACTTTTGAGTCGACTCAAAAGTCACCTGCCTTAGGTGCGTGAGCAACCCCTTCTACCCCAGCAAACCCAAACCCCTTCCCTCTTTCTGACCTATCTCTTCCCGCCTCCCTCTTCTCCCCCCCTCGGCCCCACTCACCAGCACGTGCAGGAAGTAGTGGTCCGAGTCGAGGATCACGAGCTGGCGCAGGTGCGTGAGGAAGCGCGGCACGAGGGCGACGATGGGCGGGAAGAAGTTGGAGGGGAAGGTGAAGATGAGCCGTGACTTGCCGGGGGAGGTGGGGATGCAGTAGAAGGCTAGCACGAGCTTCTTGGGGGGATCTGAGGGGGGCTGGTGGGGGGAGAGGGGGGGGGGGGGGAGGATTGGGGGGTGAGGGAGGAGAGGAAGAGGGGGAGAAAGTGTCGGAAGGGAAGAGGAGAGCTAGGGAAGTCGGAGAGCTAGGGATGCAGTAGAAGGCCAGCATGAGCTTCTTGGGGGGGTCTGAGGGCGGCTGGTGGGCGGAGGGGGGAGAGGAGAGGAGGGCAGAGGGAGTTTTGGAAACATGCTGAGAGCCATGTGGGGATTCAGTAGAAGGCTAGTATGAGCTTCTTGGGTGGGTCTGGGGGGTCTGATGGGGGCTGATGGGGGCTGATGGGGGCTGATGGGGGCTGATGGGGTCTGATGGGGGCTGATGGGGGCTGATGGGGGCTGATGGGGTCTGATGGGGGCTGATGGGGGCTGATGGGGGCTGATGGGGGCTGATGGGGGCTGATGGGGGCTGATGGGGTCTGATGGGGTCTGATGGGGTCTGATGGGGGCTGATGGGGGCTGATGGGGTCTGATGGGGGCTGATGGCGGCTGATGGGGTCTGATGGGGTCTGATGGGGTCTGATGGGGGCTGATGGGGGCTGATGGGGTCTGATGGGGTCTGATGGGGTCTGATGGGGGCTGATGGGGGCTGATGGGGGCTGATGGGGGCTGATGGGGGCTGATGGGGGCTGATGGGGTCTGATGGGGGCTGATGGGGGCTGATGGGGTCTGATGGGGGCTGATGGGGTCTGATGGGGGCTGATGGGGGCTGATGGGGGCTGATGGGGGCTGATGGGGTCTGATGGGGGCTGATGGGGGCTGATGGGGGCTGATGGGGTCTGATGGGGGCTGATGGGGGCTGATGGGGTCTGATGGGGGCTGATGGGGGCTGATGGGGGCTGATGGGGTCTGATGGGGTCTGATGGGGTCTGATGGGGGCTGATGGGGGCTGATGGGGTCTGATGGGGTCTGATGGGGTCTGATGGGGGCTGATGGGGGCTGATGGGGGCTGATGGGGGCTGATGGGGGCTGATGGGGGCTGATGGGGTCTGATGGGGGCTGATGGGGGCTGATGGGGTCTGATGGGGGCTGATGGGGGCTGATGGGGGCTGATGGGGTCTGATGGGGGCTGATGGGGGCTGATGGGGGCTGATGGGGGCTGATGGGGGCTGATGGGGTCTGATGGGGTCTGATGGGGTCTGATGGGGGCTGATGGGGGCTGATGGGGTCTGATGGGGTCTGATGGGGTCTGATGGGGGCTGATGGGGGCTGATGGGGGCTGATGGGGGCTGATGGGGGCTGATGGGGGCTGATGGGGTCTGATGGGGGGGAGAGGAGGGCAAGACAGGGAGAATGATTCAAATACGAGTCAGTGCTAGTCATGAAGAAGAGCAGCAGTAGTCATGTTTCAAATACGAGCACAAAATGGAGAGCCATGGGGGTGCAGTGGGAATCCAGCACGAGCTTTCTGGGGGGGAGAGGAGGGGAGTTGTGTGGGGGAGGGGAGGGGAGGGAAGGGAAGGGGAGGGGAGGAGAGGGAAGGGGAAGAGGAGAGGAGAGGAAGGCAGGGAGATTCTTAGAAGCATGACAGGGAGAGCCGTGGGGGGGTTTGAGGGGTGGTAGGGCGGAGGGGTGGTTGGGCGGAGGGGTGGAGGGGCGGAGGGGTGGAGGGGAGACCCACCTGTCCGGGCGATGATCTCCTGGCGAGCGAGCGTGGGCGGCAGGAAGGCAAATAGCTTTTGAGGTGCCTCAAAAGTGGGTCAATAAGGGGGAAGGAGATGAGAGGAGAGGAGAGGAGAGGAGAGGAGAGGAGAGGAGAGGAGAGGAGAGAGGAGAGGAGAGGAGAGGAGAGGAGAGGAGAGGAGAGGGGAGGAGAGGAGAGGAGAGGAGAGGAGAGGAGAGGAGAGGAGAGGAGAGGAGGGGACTCGCTCTCACCTGTCCGGGCTTGGGCTTCACAATGATCTCCTGGCGAGCGAGCGTGGGCGGCAGGAACTCAAAGGGGCCGCCCTGGTCGTTGGACCCCTGGAAGCCGGTGGCTCGGATGCCGTCCACTGTCAGGTTCAGCGGCTTACCGTCCTTGCGGTTGCTCTGAAGGGGGGAGAGGGGAGGCGGGGAGCAGGGGGGGAATAAGAGGGCGGGACGGGGGCAGATGGCACGAGTTGGCAAGCCGCCCGTTGCTCGGATGTTGTGGTTGTGACGTGGTTGTGACGTGGTTGTGACGTGGTTGTGACGTGGTTGTGACGTGGTTGTGACATGGTTGCTCTGATGGCTGTGGTTGTGGTGCAAGAGTGCAGGGCGGGACTTTTGAAGAGGCGACTCAGAAATGGCGTAGTGCAGTGTAGTGCAGGCACGGGGAGGGAAGAGGGAAAGCGATGAAGGAAGCACGAGGGGAAGCGTTAGATAAGAGGTGAAGGGCAGCAGCAGCAGCATCAACAACAGCCGGGGGGGCAGCAGCAGCTGCAGCAGCAGCAGCAGCAGCAGCAGCAGCAGCAGCAGCAGCAGCAGCAGCAGCAGCAGCAGCAGCAGCAGCAGCAGCAGCAGCAGCAGCAGCAGCAGCAGCAGCAGCAGCAGCAGCAGCAGCAGCAGCAGCAGCAGCAGCAGCAGCAGCAGCAGCAGCAGCAGCAGCAGCAGCGGGGGCGTACCATGATCTTGTGGTGGGCGAAGGGCACGTGGGCAGGGTCCACTAGGTTCTCCACCAGCAGCTCGTAGCTGGGAAGAGGCATATAGGGGCATGGGGGGCATATGGGGGCATGGGGGGCATGGGGGTTGGGTGGGTGATGGGGTGGGGTATGGGGCATGCACTCACCCATGCTGAAGGTCTCTCATCTGCACTGCCTGCACTCTCCCTTTCCTCCACATCGCCCTGCTCTCTCTCCCTTCCCTCCCCTTCGCCCCCCTCCCTCTCGCCTCTTCCCCCCCTGGCTGTGCACTCACCGGTATTACAGGTCCGTCTGAACCAACGTCCCCTGAAAAGGTCGGGTCTTCGAGCTCAGGCACGATAGGCACGGGGGTGCTAGTTTCAGCCACCCCTGGCCCCGCGTGAAATGAGCCGTGTTTTGAGTCGATTCAACACACAGCTAGCTCCAGCCACCACCCCTGCCCCCTCTCCCCCTCTCCCCCTCTCCCCTTTCGCCCACTCACCCGTACTGCAGGTATGTTTGAACAACATCTCCTTGAAACGTGGAGTCTTCAAGTTCAGGCAGGCACCACGGGCACGGGGCAGCTCGCTCCAGCCACCACCCCTGCCCCCTCTCCCCCTCTCCCCTTTCGCCCACTCACCCATATTGCAGGTCAGTTTGAACAACGTCTCCTTGGAATGTCGGGTCTTCGAGCTCTGGCACGACGGGCACGGGGGAGGCAGCGGCCTCAGCAGCAGCAGAGGGCGAGTGGTCCATCCAAATGAAGATGATGCCGTGCCGCACACACGTGGGGTAGCTCCTGGCGCATGCCTTAGGGGACGTGTTCACCTGGTGGGGGGGGAGAGTGGGGGGGGGGTAGAAAAAGGGAAGGGCGGAGGGAGGCAGGGAGGGAGGGTGGAAGGGAGGATGGGGGGAAGGGGGGGGGGAGGGCAAGTGGAGGGGAAGACTGCTGAGGGAAGGATGTTTTTGGCTTGGCTGGAAGCAGCGGAGGGCGAGTGGTCCATCCAGATGAAGATAATGCCGTGCCGCACACACGTGGGGTAGCTCCTGGCGCATGCCTTAGGGGACGTGTTCACCTGGTGGGGGGGGGGAGAGGAGGAGAGGGGCGGCGGAGAGCTTACGGAAGACGAACAACCATTCAACGGAGGGGGGCAGGGGCATGGGGGAGGAGAGGAGCGGGATGGAGTGGAGATGATTTCTACACAGCCCAAGAAGAGAACAGAACAGAATGCTGCATGCACGAGAGGTGAGCTAGCGCCGCGCACATGCTTTGAGGGAGGTGCTCAGCTGGTGGGGTTCAAGGCTGGGGGAAGAGAGGGGGGAAGAGAGGGGGGAAGAGAGGGGGGAAGAGAGGGGGGAAGAGAGGGGAGGGGCGGGGATTTTGATTTTTGATGACAGCGAAGATAGATCAAGGCAGGGAGGGAAAGCGGAGGCAGCAGCTTGCCGCGGGCATTACTGCTATTTCAGGAAATTTAAAGGACGGAAACCGGTATGGGCTGGTGTGCTGTGCTGTGCTGTGCTGTGCTGCGCTGCGCTGCGCTGTGATGTGCTGTGCTGTGCTGTGCTGTGCTGTGCTGTGCTGGGATGAGGGCCTGACTGACCGGAGGGCCATCGGAAGGGGCCTGGGGGATGAAGGTGCAGGAGGTATCGGGGGCGAAGGTCCACCCGTGGTAGCTGCACTGCAGGTCTCCCGACTCGTGAATGCGCCCCTCTGATAGCGGTGCTAGCCTGCTCTCACATGCACACACAAAAGCAGACATGGAAGCACACAAGCACACGCGAGCACACATGCACGCACGCACATCCATGCACATAAGCACATGGTGCAACCAGACAGGGAAAAGCAGAGAGAGGCAGTGAGTGACGAGGCAGGTAAGAGCGCACGGAGGGCAGAATCATGTTGCTGCTGCTGGTGGTGGTGCTGCTGCTGCTGCTGCTGCTGGTTCTGGTGCTGCTGCTGCTGCAAGCATAGACGCAGTGAGGCGATCAGTTGATTCTGTAAACGGCGCCTGTGCGACACGACACAGCAAGCAGTCGCTTGTGCCACACAGAAAGCAGTCGTCTGTGAGACAGAGCGAGGAGCAGGCACCAACCTGTGCGGGCAGAGGTCGTGGAATGCGAGCCACTGCGCGGAGGGCGGATCCTCGGACATTTTCCAGTGAGCGGCAGTACTTAGGTTCAGGCTAGAGCAAGTAGGAAAAGAGGCTAGAGCAAGTAGGAAAAGAGGCTAGAGCAAGTAGGAAAAGAGCCTGAACCTAAGTACTGCCGCTCACTGGATAATGTCCGAGGATCTGCTAACCTGTGCGGGCAGAGGTCGTGGAATGCGAGCCACTGCGCCGAGGGCGCGTGGAACCAGATCACCACGGGCCGCCCCAGCAGCGTCAGCGCCACCGGCACGCGCGGATCCAGCTCGCGCACCACGGCTGGCGGAGGGGACCAGGGGACGGGGAAACGGGGCAGGGGGAACGGGAGAGGGGGATCGGGGGAGGGGGAAAGCGGGAGGGTTCTGGGAAGCGACTCGGGCACGCTCGTTGCGCAGCTCCCAGAAAGAAGTCATGTGGAAAAATGGTCCGGACGCGCACAATTCCACGCTTCTTTCACGCGGATGCGCGTAACGGTGCTGGCAGGGCCCACGATGATTCAAACAGCCCACGCTCTCGGTTCGCGGAACGTCGCAGTATCGTTAGTGACATTTCCGTTAGCCACATTAACGTATCAAGTTGTATCAAGGCCACGTACCTGCAGGATACCAGTTTTTCTCCCATACGAATTTTGAGCCCGCCGCTTTATCTCGCGCCGCCTCGGCTTCCGGGCGCCACGCCTCCGCCGCCGCGATGTCGCTGCCGGAATCAGCGGCGACAGATGCGCCGGTCTCGACAGCCATCGCCACCGTCGCGCGCTGCTGACGTGGCAGCGCGCGATTGGAGCGCAGCGAGGGGAAGAGAGAGCGATGATTGGTGCCGGCGATGCGAGACGATGAGAGACCGGAAGCGCAGTCATGACGATGCGAACGGTTCAGCGTTATTTGCGGAGATGAACGGTTGCGATGGACTTGCAGCGACGGCGCAGCGGAGCGCCAATTGCGCGCTTCGAGGCAGGGCTGTAATTGAGCGAGATATGCCGGGCCGCGGGCTGCGGCTAGTTGGGACGCCATGGTTGTCTGGTGGAACAGCTGGATTGCCGCAGGTAGGGTAGCAAGCACTCTCCAAGCACGAGAAATGAGCCGGGTGATGTTTCACAAATAACGACTCGTGGGTTGCAGATAGGTGCACGCACACACGAAGGACTGCTTCAGGCTGGTCAAGCAGCCAACTTGGAGTGGAGCTCCTCCTGCTGGATTCGACTCGAGAAATTGGTGATGGAAAAGGGGTGAATTTGCGAGCGATGTGCTGGATCTGTGTGCGACGCATTAGCGGCAACTGGCTGGCTGCGAGTGGGTGCGATTCTCGGTTGAGTGTCGCGGCGACGCGTGCACGATATGAAGCGACAGCGTGGCATGTCGTGGACCACCAATCAGGTTGGCAACGTGGAGATGAGGACATGAACAGACGGTGTGCGTTGCACGAGGATGCGCTGGATACGAGGGTCCATAACCACGCGAAGCGAGAAATCAATCTGTGTAAAAGCTGATCCATCGCGTATCTTGCAACAATAGGGCTTGCTCACTACGCTGTATCGGATTTCTCATATAACCAACAATCAGCTGTTTTCCTGGGCTAGCTCGCGTGGTAACGCCACATTTGGTGACGGTGATTGGTGGTGTCGCACAGACTGGGTAAAATAAAAGATTGGGTACCTTTATGCTAAGGGCAAACCAGAGAAGAGTTACTATTCTTACATAAGTGTTCCGTAACAGAACAGAAAGTTTGGCCTTTCATAGTTTACTCCGCCGACCAGCAAGAATCAAGACGACTTGACTTGTCGCAGGAAGAATTCACCACTTCCCCGCCAACACACCGCGGATACATTCGCCGACAGCCAGCGAGGTCTGACAGCGTCGCACAGGCTCAGACGTTTCTCGTCCACCACGTCAGCCCGTGGATAAAACGAAGCACTCGATTGGGTCCGATTGTAACAGCCACAGCGTCGCTGGACAAACTCCTCCGCGACCGCGACTCTACACACCACCCCTACACTCTGTGCGAACGAATCACGACCAATCCCGTGAACGCCATTTCTTGTGCGAAGCCAAGCGAGCAAGGGATAGACTTAGCACCCCACCTCCCCTCTTCACCCACACCCCCCCCAGGCGCACAACTCCCTCACGCGCGCAAGGGCTAGAAAAAGAGTCAACCCAACCGAAAAGCTTCGAATCGAAACCAAAACACCCACACACGGCACTTGCCCACTCTTGTTTTCTCCTCCCTCGCTCCCTGCTCTGTCGCTATTACCTCTTTTCTTTCTGCAAAGAACTGCCTTGAAAACACCATCAATGCTTTCTCACAAGATACTAGCAGCCCACTTTCAGTCAATCGTGTCTCTTATCCAGCGTGTCCTATCTTGATTCCTGGAATCTTCTAGCTATTTAGGAATCGAACGGTGACCCAGTCACCTTCCATCTAGCGACAAGAACCTGCGCCTGACTGTCTTCTATCAAGGCCACGCCAGCATCGGTCGGCCACGACAGCTGCTCACTCAATCTCCCTCTATCTCCATCAACCACTTCGACTCTTGAATTTAGGGGAAAAAAATAATAGGTATTTGAAAGTACGCCATGCCTCGGCGGTCTGGCAGCGGCGACTACGGCGGCGGCGCGCGCGGCCCGTCGTCGCCGGGAATGGCGCCGGCGGTGGAAAGCCTGTTCGGCGCGGACTCGTGGGACGGCGGCGCCGCGTTGCACGCGAGCAACAGCAGCGGCGGCATGAGCGACGGCGCGTCATCCGCGTCGAAGCCGCGGTCCGTGCACGTGCCCAAGCTGCGCAAGGGGAAGGTGAGACGAAACGAGCGGCGACACGCATGTCATGACGCGCGCATGTCACCATGCACTGCGTATGCTGCGCCCAGAACCTTCGCGTGCTTCTCTGCTCTCAACCTCCATGGTTTCCCCTCTCGTCCCTCCTTCGCATGTCCTGCCCCTCTTTCCGTCCCTTCGCAACCCTATATTCTTCCATCCCCACAGTTGCCCGCACTAACATTTTTGTGTTAACCACCTAGCCGCGCTCTGTCTGTACCGATCAGTACAGTCCCCCAAGCGTCCTACACATCTTTTCTCCGCTCCGGCTCACCTTTTTTCTCGTCCGTTGCCTCCCTCCCTCTTTTCCCCTCCATTTTTTCCCGTCCCTGTTTTCTCCTCCCATACCGCTCGTGCCCTTGCTGTTATCCCCTTCGTTTCTGTCACACCCGCGCAGGGCCCCTCCGCGGCGCTCCCCGTGTTCGGCTCGTGGAATGCTCCGCAGCCCCCGCAGAACTTCAACAAGGGTACGGCGGCGGAAAACGCGGCGGCGCAGGCGGCGGCGGCGGCGATCCGCGCGGCGACCGCAAGCGCGGGCGCGGACGGGCAGCCGAAATTCACGGAGGTGTTTCGGCAGAAGGGGGAACAGCGCGGGAACGGGCAGTGCGCGTGGCCCGAGTACGACGCGATTTTAGCGAAGCAGACGATGATGCACGATCGGCTGCGCGAAGAGCAGATGATCGCTCAGCAGCAGCAGATTCTGGCACACCAGCGGCAAGCAAGCAAGGTGAGATTTGGAAGCGCTTTCTTTTTGGCTAACCTCCTAAAGCGGCCGCTATTGCTTCCATCCAGACGCCATTACTCCACTCGCCTCTCTACCGCATCTCCTAATCACCTCTTTTCAGAATGGAAACACGTGTCCTATTGAAAGGCTTCAAGAGGCCATTGAATAGGACACGGCTGTACAGAACGGAAACCCGTGGAGCAAAGTGCAGAGCCAAGTACGGAGCACAAAGCTCACGGATAAACAAATGATTGCACACACAGAAAGACCCATACATTGATTATTCACAGAAAAATATTTATTAGCCGCTGTACAAACAGTTCCACGTCCACCAAGCCACAAGCAAGCGAGTTGATTTTTGAGTCGACTCAAAAATCAAGTCCACCAAGCCACAAGCAAGCGCAGCATTATGGTTCGAGACTGGTTGCTCTCGCACCTCTTAGCGGGATTGGGCTTATCTTTTTAACCTTGTAGGGAATTTGTTGCGCCTCAAAAGTGGTTGCACTCTCTCTCTCTCTCTCTCTCTCTCTCTCTCTCTCTCTCTCTCTCTCTCTCTCTCTCTCTCTCTCTCTCTCTCTCTCTCTCTCTCTCTCACCTGTGTCTCTCTCACCTGTGTGGACTTTTGAGTGGATTCAATGTCACCTCCGTGGAGTAAGTTGCTCATCCCATTAGCTTTCGCCTCCAGCCATTCCTCTCCTCTCTTTCCCTTTGCTTGCTTGCCAGGACTGTTGCTTGCCCCATCATCTTCCTCCCAACCATACCTCCGCGTCTCCATCCTTCCCCCCTTCCAACCCCCTTCCGCCCCCCTTCCGCCCCCACTCTGCTTCCGCCTTACCTCTCACGCTGCCACCACCCGCCTTCTCCCCTCGTTCTTACCCGCCTACTTCCCCCCTTTCTTTCCCCCATTCCCCTCCCTTTTTCCCCCCCACCCTTTTCCCCTTGCATTGCACCCAGAACTCCCTGGCTTCCGCACAGACTTCTGACTCCTCGTTCCCCCAGTCCTTCCCCCAGCCCTTCCCCAGCATCTCTTCTTCCCCCGACCCCTACGCCTTCCCCCCTTCCGCCTCCCTTCCGCTGCCCCCATCCTCCGCCCCCGGCCCCCCGCCCTTCTTCCCCTCCTCCTCCTCCCTCCCCCAGCCCAGTACTGCCGCGCAGCCCCCCCCACCGCCCCCGCCAGCGGCCCTCGTTCCCCCTATCGTCCTCCCCCCACCTTCCGCCACCTCCGCCCCTTCCGACTCTGCCCCAGCCCCTCCCTTTCTCGCGCCTGCGCAATCCGCACCGGTCCCAACCCCTCCATTCGTCAACCCCTCTTTCCCTGCTACGTCGGAACCACCACCGCTGCACCGTGCCTCTCCCCCTGCTGCTTCTGACTCCCCACCGCTGCACTATGCCTCTCTGCCTGCTGCCGTGACTGCCCCTGCCCCTCCGCCTGCTGCTCCGCCTGCCCAGGTCCTTCCACCCGCCCCTGCGCGCGAGTATGGGTACGAATACGCGCCTGCCCCTGTGCCGTCGCGTGTCCCTGCCCCTGCGCATGCCTCTTCTGCTGTTGAAGCAGCACCGGCACCAGTCGCAGCAGCAGCAGCAGTAGCGGCGGCGGCGGCAGCAGCGGTACCACCACCGGCAGCAGTGACCGCAGCACCAACGGCAGCGGCAGCTGCAGCAGTGGCACCGGCAGCACCGGCAGCAGCAGCAGAAGCGCCAGCGCCATCACTAGCGGAGATGCAGCAGCTGCAGCAGAGGCTGCTGCACGGGGAGGTGCTGAGCGCGGGGGAGAGGCAGCGCCTGGCTGCTGGGCTGGAGCAGGTGCTTGCCATGGCCATGGGGGGCGCGCCTGTGGGTAGCAGCAGCAGCAGCGGTGGCAGCAGCACCGGCAGCAGTGGCAGCGTTGTGCAGAACCAGACAGCAACAGCAGCAGCAGTAGCACCGGCACAAGCAGTGGCACCGGCAGCAGCAGCAGCACCAGCAGCAGCAGCAGCGGGCGTGGCCGGTGGATATACTGGAAGTGAGTATGTTGAGAACGGTTGGGATGGTGGCGCTGGTGCTGGCGAGGGAGGGGTGGCGGCGGTGGCAGGGGCGGAAGGGCAGGGAACGCAGGGGGGACAGGGAGGGCAGGGAGCGGGAGAGTTGCTGTGGGGAACGGGGAAAGAGGAGTTTGGGGGCCACGGGCATGGGGAGGGCAGTGTGGGGATGGAAGGACGAGGGTATGTGTGGGGTGGGGAAACGGAGGGGTATGGGAGTGGATTGGAGGGGTATGGTGGTGGAGTGGAGGGGTATGGAGGGGGAATGCAGGGGTATGGAGGGGCGGGGATGGTGGCAATGAGTGCAGAGATGGGGATGGGATTGGCGGTGGTGGAGGAAGGGGAAGATGAGGGGTTAGATAGTGAAATGGCAGAGCAGAGTGACGGGGGCGAGACGGAAAGTCAGAGGCAAGGGGAGGCAAAAGGGGAAGGGAATGGGGAGGGGAAGCGGCAAGGGGAAGGGGGCAGGGAGATGGGAGGGGAGTGGAACAGGAAGGAGAGGGAGAGTGTGCTAGGAGAGGGCAGTGAGCGAGTGGGAGAAGGAGAGATGCGGAGTGAGGGGGAGGATGGGGTGAAAGAGGAGTGCAGGGATGGTGTCACTACCAGTATCACTACTGGTGTCGCAACCGGTGTCGCTACTGGTGTCGCTGCTGGTGTCGTCGCTACTGGTGTCGTCGCTACTGGTGATGCTGCTGAAGAGGAGAATGGGGAGGGAGGGGAAAAGGCAGCTGGAAGGGAGTATGAGAGGCGGTGGTGGGAGGAGGAGTCCGGGCAGGAGTCGGCAACAGGAGGGGGGGAGGAGAGGGACGGCATGGGGGGAGGAGGTGGGGACGGGGGCGCGGAGTGGGGTCGGTTGCAGGAAAGGGCGGCTGTTGAACGAGAGATGTTTGCTGCTGCTGCTGCTGCTGCTGCCAGGGGTGCTGCTGCCTCGGATATGGGCGCAGCAGGAGCAGTGGGCGCAGTAGCAGCAACAGCAGCGGCAGCAGCAGTGGCAGCAGCAGCGGCAGCAGCAGCAGCAGCAGCGGGTGACAGTGACCCTTCAGCAGGCGACTCTGGAATGGAAGTAGTAGCGGGAGCGTTTGCACATGAGACACCCTCCTCACTGCCGCCACCCTCTGCTTCCATTGCCCCTGCAGTACCAGCACCAGCACCAGCAGCAACTGTACCGGCAGCAGCGGCGGCAGCAGTGCTGGCAGGAACGGCAGGGGTGGGGCCGTCAGAGTGGGAGTTGGCGGCGGGTGAGAAGCAGGGAGCGGCTGAGCGCATACTTGCAATGCCTGCAGCAGACAATGAGTGTGTCAGTGGAGCTAGCATTGGTGCTGGCAGTGATGGTGGGGATCGCAACAGGCAGTTCCCGCTAACCCCCGTTCCTGCTGCTGTAGACGGCACTGCTGCTGCTGCTGCCGCCGCTGCTGCTGCTGCCGCTACTGCTGCTAGAGCAGCCGCCCTTGCTGCTGCTCCGCCCTTCTTCTCCCCCCCAAGGGGCCCGTCCGCTCTTACCTCTCATCAATACGAGCCCAGCACCCAGCCAGGCGCCCCTCACTCAGGTGCCTCGTCAGGTGCCCACTCAGGTGCCCAGTCAGGTGGGCATTCAGGTAACCAATCCGGCGAAGCGGGTGGGGGAGGGGGTCTGTACACGTTCAGCGGGCTCACAGGGAGTGATTATACGGGGAGTGACTATGCTGGGAGCGGCTGCTTTGTTGATCCAGGGAACAACACTGGTGATCTCTCTGCTGCCACTGCCACCGCTGCTGCCGGTGTTGCTTCTGGGTTTGCTGCTGCAGGGTCGAGGGCAACAGCAATGGGAGACGGAGGAGGAGGAGGAGGGGGAGGTGGAAACGGAGGGAATGGAGAGGGCGGAGGGGGCGGGTACACAAAGGGGTTTGAAGCGAAGATAGCTGCTGGGAAGCAAGAGAATGGCGTGGGCAGTAATTATGGCTCTCATGCTGCTGCTGCTGCTGCTGCTGCTGCTGGGGGAGGAGTGGGGAGCAGGAGCAGGAGCAGCAGGAGCAGCAGCAGCAGGAGGAGGGGTGGCAGCGGAAGAGCAGGCGGCATGGGCAGGCGGGGAGGCAACGACTGGGGGAGAGGAATCATCGTGCGGGGCACTGGTGGAGATGGTGATGGCACCGCCGTTTGTGGGCATGGACTCTCCCACATATGTCAGGCGCGCTGGTAGCCTCTCCCGCTCCTCTGAGATGCCACCCGCAGCAGGCGCAGCAGCAGAAGGGGCTGCGGCTCTAGCACTGGTGCCAGCAGGGACGGGATCGGGGTCAGGTTCGGGGTCAGGGGTGGCTGGGGCAGGGGCAGGTTCGGGTGCTGGTTCGGGAGTGGTTTCGGGTGCAGAGTCGGACGTGGGTTCGTACAGTGGGCAGCGGCAGGGGAGCGATTCGGGGAACATGTCTCAGGGCATGGGGCAGCAGACAATGGGGCCACAGGCCATGGGACAGCAGGCTATTGGGCAGCAGGGATGGCAGCAGGGGGGGGCGCAGGGATGGCAGCAGGGGGTGCAACAGGGGGGCGCACAGGGGGGCTTGTATGTGGGTCCGGGCCTCACAGGTCAGCCCTATGCAACTGAGGTTTTTTCACAGAAGGTGTATGGCTCTGGGGTTTTGCCGGGGCAGGCTTATGCAGGGCAGGTGTATCCAGGCCAGCCTCCCCAGGGTCAGGGGCAGGGGCAGGGGCCACAGGTGCGGGGGCAGGGAGTGCCAGTCCCGGTGCAGGGCTATCCAGGGCAGGTGCACCCTGCACAGGCACAGGCACAGGGGCAGGGACAGGGACAGGGGCAGGGACAGGGTTACCCAGCGCAGGTGTACCCGGGGCAGGTGTATCCTGGGCCAGGGCAGGTGCCGCTGCAAGGTGGGGCGGTGTATGCAGGCGGAGCAGGTGGAGGGTTTGCGGCTGCAGGAGCAGCGCTGGCGGGGCAGGCAGGAGCTGCGCAACCGTATCCCGTACGTGCTGCTGTGCTGAGCTTGTGCTGCTGTGAGGTTGTGGCTTGCTGGTCAGCTGCTGCTGCATTGCGGTTGCGGTTACCTGCGTGATTTTTGTTGCTGTCAACCCCCCCTCATCCCTCCCTTCCCTCCCATCCCCCCCTCCAACTTCTGCTCCTCCTGCTGTTCCTTCCTGCTGCTCCCTCCGCACCTCTCTCGCATGCACACTAACTCTCACTTCTCCTGTACCTCGTCTTGTCCCCTGTACTGTCACAGGTTCGAAAACCAGCACGCAAGAAAGGAGGGTTCTGTAGCTGCTTTGGCATTTGAGACCTCCACCTTTTCTGCTTTTGAAGATTTGGTACCATGCCTTTCTCCATGCTGTCTTAGTTCAGACCCAAGGTCCATTGTTTCCATTGAGAACCTATGCTATGTTCATATTCAATATGTGTTTTTGTTACAATGCATAATACTTTATGGTATTTGTTTTAGGAGTTAATCTTTTTGCTGCATAAACTAGTTGGATCGATTAGTGCCATATAAAGGTGCCCTATTAAGTTAACTGAATTGAAACATAACGAGTTCGCGGGCCTTTGTCATGTAGAGGAACCGCCTCGTCTTTCTGACGCCACTGCGGGTGTCTGAAAGTTGATTTCTCGTTTTGAACGCCCCAATTCGAATCTTCCCCAAACGCCCCTGACTCGCCCGCCAATCTCCCCAGAAATCCGCCGATACCCCAGATACCCCCCCATTTTCTGCGAGCGGCTCGCAATTGCGCCTAGTCGCCCGCCAATTCAGCGCTCTGTTCCGCCCACCTTGAAAGTTGCCGCACCCGCGGTTCCGCCCGGTTGAAGTTTCAAACTTCCAATTCGTATTCGATTCCACCCTTCCTCGATATGCCTGACCTCACCCCATCGGCGGCACTCGCACAAGAGATAATCCACAACATACATACTCCATCAGAATCCACCATTCTCCTGCATCCATTCCTGAAGCCTCTTGCAACACATGTGCTTTTCTTGCTCTCATTCAACACAATCCTACTCGCATTCATCCTCCCATGCTATTTTGCCAGTAAAGCAGCCAAGCAGGCTGAGCGTGTGCCAGTGGAAAGCACATAGACCAGCGAGTTTGGCTGCTCATGCCTTCCATGCTGCCGCCACGAGCACCGTGTGTTCACATTCCCCTCTATGCTGTGCGTATGTGAAGGAGCAGAAAAGGACTGTGTGACTGTATGAACGTATTGGTGAAACTCCAACCCTGCCTTCAGCCTAATCACCGGCTTCGCATTGGTTTACCGGAAGCATTAACCCGTTTCGTCTTCTTAACAAGAGACACTACCCGGTGAACAACCCCTCTCTCTACTCTTCCGCATTCCCGCCGCCATGGTCGTAAGCTCGCCAGTGGGCTTCGAGCTCCTCGGCTGCTTCAACGTATCGGCCACATTCGAGCGCGAGGGGCAGCGCATCGGCCAGCCGAAAAGCCACGTCGCAGTCGTCAGCATCCCTCGGAGCCGCGTTCCCGCCGGAGGCGGCCCGATAAGCCTATCCAGCCCCAGCCCCGGCACTGGAGATAGTATCGAGGATGCTGTTGACGGGGCTACTGTTGATGATGGCGGCGGTACCGCAATGGCGCTGCTGTTCGTCGCGAAAGCAGGTTTCACGAATGCCGTTGCTGCTGCGGGGACCGCGTTCGCCATCAACGACATGGGGAGGTTCCGAATGAAATTCATTCACGAGGGTAAGTTGTGTACTAGGACGGTTCGGTTGTGCGCCAGTGTGCATTATTGTGCTCTTTCTTTCTTGAGATGATTTCTTTTGAATCAGCACGTGTAGTTTCCGCGCGCTTCATGAGCATCCAGCAATTCGAGCGTTACGCGTGCAAACGGCACCTGCTGATGAAGTTGCTCTGGCAGCGGTTTCATCCCGCGTTTAATAGGCGCTCGCGCGCGCTGCGAGGTACCGCTTCTCGATCTCCACCCGTTGACGCCGCGTGTAGTAGTCTGATCTCAACGCAACGTCAAAGTGATTCGGAGTTGCCGTTTCAGGAAAGTTCTCCTTCGAGGTGCGCGGCGAAGGGCCCGGCGGGAACACGCTGGTGCTGTGCAGTGTGAGTCACGGGCAGCTTCCGCAGGACGTGCGGCGGCTTGCGCAATTCATCTCCGACATCAAGATCGGCAAGGCGCCCGGCATGCCGCACAAATGCGTCGCGTGCGGCTTGAAGGATAAGGCGGAGGTGGACAAGAAGCGCAAGCAGGAGGAGGTGAGAGCAAGCTGCCTCGCTGCTACTCCCGTAACGTTTTGATTTGTCCATGCATGAGTGGTTTTGCGCTCTTGGTTCTCTTCCTTGATATTTTTTCTTGCTTCGTATTTGAATTGGAAGGAGCTGACGAGTCTCACTGTCTGTGCTTGGCCGTGCAATGCGTTGCACGGACGTGCATGGCGTGCGTGTGCACAATGCGTCGCGTGTGTGGCACGACAGGCGGTGAAGGAGAGGGAGGTGAAGAGGCAGCGCATGGAGGAGGAAAAGAAGGTCAAGGAGGAGCAGAAGAAGCGCGAAAAGGTGCGTGCGCTCGAGGCCTTTTTTCCGGCCTGCCCCGTCGGCCCCGTGGCGCGGTCGTCCGTCTTCACTGCTGCGAGTTTTTTTACCGCTGTGTTGCTGTCTAATCTGCTGCTTCTCCCACCCCGAACCCCCCATCTCCGTACCTCGTGAGTTGTGCGCGCCCTGCGGATCTCATAGCGCTTCTTTAGAGAGCCCCGTGCCTGTTACGGTTCTCGTTCATTTCGCCGTGAGATGTGATCGTGCGTCCCCGTTGACCCGGGCGTTGGAGGGGGAATCGCAGGAGGAGCGGGAGGCGCGGCAGAAGCAGGAGCGCGCGATGAAAGAGCTGCAGAAGAAACTCAAGGAGGTGGAGAGGGACAGAGACGACATGGATCGAATACGCGAGGCGCTCGGCAAGGAGCTGAAAGAGCGCGGCGAGATTATCCGAGACCTTCAGGAGAAGCTCAAGGAGAAAGCGGCGGCTGCCGCCAAGGAGGCGGAGAAGCGACGCGAGGAGGAGTCGCGACGCGCGCGGGAAGAGAGCGCGGCGAGAGAGGCCGCGTGGCGGGTGAAGGAGGCGGAGATACGGCGGGCGATGGAGGAGGAGTTTCGGGTGAAGCGAGAAGAGGAGCAGCGCGTGCGGCACGCGGCGGAGATGCAGCGGTGGGCGCGGGAGCAGCAGAAGGCGAAGGAGGCGGAGGAGCTGCGGCGGAAGCTGCAGGAGGAGGAGGGGAAGCGGATGTTCGAGGCCATGTCGCACCGGGAAGAGATGGCCAAGATGAAGGCGGAGGTGGAACGCGTGCAGCAGCACTACCAGCAGTACCAGCAGGGGCAGAACCAGCAGCAGGACGCATTTGTAAGTTGTCGTGGTGCCATTAACTTCGGCAGTTGTGTGATAGTTCCCTCGATTTCCCAACGGTTAGGAATCCCCTGCGTTGGGACCCCTTTTCAAGCATTTCCAGCCAATGACGCTCTTACCTCCTCCTACACCCTTCGCTTTCCCTTTTTCTCTCTCCCATGCCCTTCCCCGCGATCCCTTATCTTCCTCTGCCGTTGCTTCCCCCTACGAACCATCACTTTCAGGGTCCCCCGCCTCCGCCTCCCCCGAAGGATGCCCCGGCGGAGGTGCTCTCGCGGTACAGCACCCTGCTGCGCGAGCGCGAGGCGCGCATGCGCGCGGCGTTCACGGCGGCGGCAGCGGAGATCCGGCGCGCGGAGATGGAGCTGCGGAAGAAGCGCACGGAGGAGGAGAGGCGGCGGAAGGCGGAAGAGGCGCGGCGGGGCAAGGCGGAGAGCGCGCGGCAGAAACGGGAAGAGGCGATGCAAGCGGAGAGGATGAGAGAGGAGGAGGAGAGGAAGCGGGCTCAAGCGGAGGAGATGAGGAAGCGGGAGGAGGAGAGGAAGCGGATGGAGGAGGCGGAGAAGGTGAGAAAGGCGCAGGAGGAGGTGCGGCGGAAAGCAATGGCGGAGGAGAGTGCCCTCGCTGCGAAGCAGAAGTGGCTGGAGGAGCAGTACCGCTTGCGACAAGCAGGTGAGGGTGGGAGCGGGAAGATGGGAGAGGATGGAGGAGGGTGGAGGCAGGAGGGAGTGGAAGAGGGAAGGAGGAGAGGTGAGGAGTAGTACGCTGTCAGTTATGGTGGAGCCTGCGAGTGAGGGGGTGAAAGGCGAGTTCGCACTTGTTCTTGATGCTGGTTGTTTGCATGACGGGTCCCATTCCCCGTTTTCTGACCCACCTTCCTTCATCCGTGTTTGTGGCACATGTGTGTGCATGTGGATTGGGATGTCATGCGCGTGTTTGATGTCTGCGATGATGAATGCATGCATGTGGGGGGATGTGGCGGGATTGGGGGAGGGAACCATGCATGCTGTGCTGATGCCTGGATGCATGCGTGCCATGTCTGTCCAGCCGCACCCATGACCTACGAGCAATACGAGAACCGGCTGCGGCAGATCAAGAATTCAGCCGGCAGTGCCAACGTGCCTCTGCACTTCTGGGACATCCCCTGGCCGCCCGAGGGCAACTGCCTCTTCCTCTCCCCCACCGACGATGCCGGGTTGAAGAAGAGGAAGTTCAAGGATGCGCTGCTCTTCTGGCATGCTGATAAGTTTGTGGCTTTCTGTGGGTCTCGGCTTGTGGAGGATCACAAGGAGGTGATTCTGAAAAAGGTTGCTCGGTTGAGTCAAGAGGTCGTGGAGGCAAGGAATGGTTTGTGACATGCTAGATTTGGTGGTTAGAGGGTAAGGGGGGAAGGGGGTTGCTTGCTAGTGCCTGCTTACAATGCCTCACTTCTTGTGCGGTATTATGTCAAATTGAGCATGTAAGAGGTTGTGGAATGGACAGCGATAGTGTTGGTTGTAGACATGTTGATATCCGCGACATGAGTACAATACGTTGGTTAGTCAATAATGGAGCGTGCTGCCAATAATGTGAAGTGGTAGTACCGATAGTACCTAAGTACTAACTCGAGGCTGATTGACATAATTTTTGAAGTCAAGATTTCTAGTAGAATTTGGAGTGTGCAAATATTGGCCCGGACCTATTAAAGCCCGAGTCCCAAATTGCGGGCCGCGCGGGTCAAGCTTTTAAAACTTGACGAACTAGTGTTTTCAAGGTTTGAAGAAAAGCGTGCCTGCAATTTGGGACTTTTGGGAACTGAACCAACCCCCAGGGCGAAATACGAGGGCGGGCTGGGTTTGGCGAAAAAAACGAAAAAAGCGAAATCGGAATCTTTCGCCAAAACCCTCACCACAAAAACCCCCTCGCGTCAACCTTTTAAAACTTGTGCAATTTGGGCTGCCGGCTTTAAGCAGTTTCTCCTTAGTGAAACGTTTACCTAAATTGGTCACTTGCACGAGGAGGGATCTTGCTAGAATAGGTTGGTTCTATCAAGAGCCAAAGGTACCCAAAACTCTGCGGAATGATAAGAGCTCTCATGGTAGAGTGGTAAATCTTTGCAAAGTACATCCAACCAACGGACATGCAAATTTGATCCGTTCGTCCATTGGCTAGCAAAATTTTGCCAGCACGTTAGTGGCTGCTCAAATTTCATGATCCTCCTATTGGATGTGAGGATTCTTGCTGGATAAGGCCCTCTAATTTGCGTCATCAGCCAAGCTGGCGAGTGTACTGGCATGACTTCAGGGTGACGCCACCTCGGTCGTTCCGAACCAGCTCCGCCAGGGTTTGGCGGGAAGATCCACTATTACTGAGGGAAAATTCCTGGACCTCGTGTCAAGCTGTGTTTGTGTCAACCTAGAATCTTGGAACGCATGCGATTGGTTTAAAAGGTACAACTGGCCAATCAGGTGCGCTCCATAGTTATGGGTTGACACCAACTGGTTCTTGACACGAAGTCAGAAATACGCCATGAGGCTACCTTCTTGTATCCCATGCGGCCCATTGGGGAATCGAACGCATACGCGTTATGAGTACACTTTCTTTTGGGAGGGCGCCCAAACCATCCTTATCATGAGCTTCGGGATTCGCGGGGCTGCCTTGAACTGCTGTCGTTCAGGGAGGTTGGTTGTCCCCGTCCACATCGGAAGCCCAGAAAGAGGAACATACCAGAACCTGAGTTCGAAGCTGGAAAATACCCCCTGAGTTTTCATGCAGTTTTGTTTGTAGGCTCGAGCGGCTTCTTTTGGTTCGAACAAACCCCTTAGCTGGTTCTAGCTTATGAATCACGCATTCTGCTGTTCATGAGGTAGTTATATATTCGGCTGTTCATTGCGCAAGTTTCATATGCTACGTTGCGTTGGTTCATTGCAAAAAGAACCGACGTTGGAAGCTTCTCTCTATCACCGTAGCTTAACCTGCAACGAAGTCGCATCGCAGCACGAGCAGCATGGCCAGGAACCCACCGCGGTCGCAGCCCGAAATCATCGTGCTGTCGTCCGACGACGAGGACGACAAGAACGACGTGCGCGTGCGACAGAATGCTCGCTCGCTAGGTGGAGCTCGAAATAACAGGTCACGTTTACCTCCCAGAGACATCAAGCCAGACGTTGGGGAGGTTGCGGGGACGACACGCAACCATGGAGGAAGTAGTTCCTATCAAGCTAATGGTATTGAGCCGCGCGGGAGGGTTCGAGGAGTCCCGCGCGTAGAAGTCAAGACGGAAAAGCACGAGGACGCGGAGGGTGGTGGAGATGATAGGGAGATGAGAAGGGAGAATATGAGAGAGGCGCGGACGGAAATGGCGACGGCAGCGGAAGCAGCGACGCGAGGCACGGGTAGTGGATCGCCAAGGCTCGTGCGTCGCAACCAGAATCGCAACCAGCGTTGCAACCACCATCGCTGCCAACATTGTTGCAGACATCTCGCTTTTCGGAATGGCAGACCGGTGTTTCGTTCACGGTGCCACGGCGGCAACGGGCGTCGCGATCGGGATATGCGAACTGCGCGACAGGCAGGCGACCGTGGTGTCAAGAGGAAACGGCTACTTGATCCGAATGAGAGGAGCCGCGAGGGAAGGGAGGGGAGGAGGAGACGAGAGACAGCAGAAGGAGCAGGTCACGGTGGGGAGGAGGAAGGTTCGATGCTAGGAGCGGTAGGTGGGGTGAAGGTGGAGGATGAGGAAGCGGAGGAGAAAGAGGGAGCCTGGGAGGTGCCTGGGGGGTTGGCAAGAGGCGGCGGAGAGGCTTTGTCGCCTGGTGATGTGCCGCGTGGCGACGAGAGGAGAGGAGCGATGGAGGAGGCGGGGTTTGATGATGAGCTGGAAGAGGGCGAGGTTGTTGGGGACGACTATGATGAGGAGGAAGAGGAAGAGGAGGAGGAAGAAGAGGGGGAGGGAGATGGAAGGGGTGATGATGAAGGAAGATGTGTGGAGGACGAAGTGGTAAGGAAAGGGGAGGACGCCTGGTTGAGCGAGGGGGAGGACGAGGATGATGGCGTGGAAGGGAAAGGAGAGGATGAGGAGAAGAGGAGTGTGGAAGAGAAAGGACGCGGGGAGGAGAAGGACGGAGAGAAGGAGGGGGTGAAGGGGCGAACGGCAAAGGCGAAAGGCGGGGGTGGCTGCGAGGGTGATGCAGGGAGAGGACGAGACTGTGGAGGGAGGGAGGATGCAGAACGAAAGGGAGGGAAGGAGGATGCAGTTAGAGTGAGGGGAAAAGAGGATGCACGTGCTTCTGTGGGTCCCGCAAGGGCAATAAACGATGCGGCAAGGGATGGAGCGATTGGCGGAGCACTGATCGGAGTACAAGTGAAGGATGAGAGCATAGAGGTGGGGGCCGAGGAGCGTGAGTGTCAGGGAAAGCGGGGAAGAGGCGAGGGTGCGAGCGAAAGCAGTGTGGGGAAGCGTGCGGGAGAGGCAGGGGGGCGTGAGTGTACGGATGGGAAGAGGAGGAGAGAAGAAAGGGACTTGGGTGAGGAGAAGGGCAGGGAGATCGAGGGCAGGGGGAATGCGGGCGGAGGAACAACAGGTGAGAACGTAAAGAGAAGGAAAGAGAGCGAGGAGAGGGCGGAGAAGGGAGTGAGGGAGTCGAGTGGAGGAAGGCAGCTGGAGGCGAAGCCAGGAGCATGCATTCCCCAAAGCCATGGGCGAAAAGCGGGGGCGTCAGAGGCTGGTGCCGCGGTTGTGGGGCGAGATGGTGAGGGTGGGGGCTTGTCGTCGGCTCCTGGTGCTCTGGCTACTCCTAAAGTGCCACAGAAGTCCGCTCCTAATGCTCTGGCAACGAAGTCCGCTTCTGGTGTGCCCGCAACTTCTAAAGTGCTTCAGAAGTCCGCTCCTGGTGCCCTGGCAACTTGCAAAGGGCCTCAAAACTCCGCTCCTGGTGTTCAGGCAACTTCGAAAGTGCTTCAGAATTCCGCTCCTGGTGCCATGACAACCCCTAAATGGCCTCAAAACTCTGCTCCTGGTGCTGCCCCTGTCCCTGCCTCTGTCCCTGCCGCTGCCCGTGCCGCTGGCCCTGCCGCTGCTTCTGCCTCTGCCCGTGCTTCTGCCCCTGCCCCTGCCCCTGCTCCTGCCCCTGCCCCTGCCCCTCCCTCTGACCCTGCCGCTGCTTCTGCCCCTACCGCTGCTTCTGCCTCTGCCCCTCCCTCTGCCCCTACCTCTGCCCCTGCTCCTGCCCCTGCCCTTGCCTCTGCCTCTGCCTCTGCCCCTACCTCTGCCTCTGCTCGTGCCTCTGCCTCTGCCCCTGCCTCTGCCGCGGACACACACCCAGACCTTAAACCAGAATCCCACGCAACGCCAGACGCACAGCCAGATGCAAGTACTGGTCCTGCTGCTGGTGGTGGTGGTGGCTGTGGCAGGGATACTGCTGGGGGGGCTGAATCTGCCTTGGGAAGTCACAGCAATGCAGTGGCAGCTTTGGAAGGTACGAGACTGAGAGTCGTGCTGAAGCCAGCCGGTGCACGCACCGAATCCCACAGCACTGATCGCAGAGTGGGGGAGGAGGCAGGGGGAGGGAACCAGGCAGCAGCGGCAACGCTGCTCGTGAAACCAGAGGCAGCGAGTGAGGATGAGGGTGAGGATAGCGAGGAGGAACGGGAGGAGGATGAGGAGGAAGGCGCAGGGAGTTGGGAGGAGGGAGAAGATGAGGAAGAGGATGAGGAGGGGGAGGAAGAGGAGGGGTGCGGAGTGGTGGGTGCAGGGCGGGAGTCGGGGAGTGGGCTGGAGGGAGTGGTGGTGCCGTCTGCGCGTTTGATGCTGCAGCCTGTGGTGAAGCAGGAGCAGTGCGCAATGGATGCTGGAGAGTGCGGTGTGGATGGGGAAGGACTGGCCGCTGTACCAGCAGCAGCAGCAGCAGCCGCAACAGCAGCAGCAGCAGCAGCACCAGCAGCAGCAGCAACACCGGCGCCAGCACCAGCAGCAGCAGCAGTAGCAACACCGGCGCCAGCAGCAGCAGCAGCAGCAGCAGCAGCAGCACCAGCGCCAGCAGCAGCAGCAGCAGCAGCACCAGTGCCAGCAGCAGCAGCAGCAGCAGCAGCAGCACCAGCGCCAGCAGCAGCGCCCACACCAGCACAAGCAATTTCGTGCTCTGTGGCCGCTGCCTCTGCCTCTGTGGCCGCTGCCTCTGCCTCTGTGGCCGCTGCCTCTGCCTCTGTGGCTGCTGCTTCTGCCGCGCCGGCATCTGCTGCTGCGGCACCACCAACTGCTAGTGCTCATCCGTCCATCCCTCCTGCAAGTGCTCATCCGTCCATCCCTCCTGCATCAGCAACCGATGCTGCAGCTCCTGGCGCTTCTGCTGCTACTGTTGCCCCTACAGATTCGTCCACAGCAACCGTTGCTGCTGCGGTTCCTGCTGCTCCTGCTCTTGCTCTTGCTCTTGCTCTTGCTCCTGCTCCTGCTCCTGCTCCTGCTGCTGCTGCTGCTGCTCCCGCTCCTGCTCCTGCTCCTGCTCCTGCTCCCGCTCCAGAGCAGTCATTGTCGTTAGCCATTTGGATTCCACCAGCAATGCCAGAGGGAGAAGCAGCCCCTGGAGACTACAGCGTGGGAGAAGGCGACATGAGAGCAGGGGAGTTAGAGGGGGTAGCCATCGGGACGCGGGGGTAGGTATAGGAGTAAAGGCGGAAGATGATTCTGTAGGTGGTGGTTTAGGGATAGAGGGTGTGCCTAGGAGCGTCTTGGAGAGGAATGCAAGGCAGCAGCGCAGTGGTGTTGCTGATGAGCCGTTGCTGGAACGGCCCTGCGAAGCATTGCAGTCTCTGCAGGTGCCGCCGGTGCAGCTGTTACAGTTGCCGGGGGGGTTGAGTGGAGGCGGGTATAACGAAGTGTCTGCAGGAGCAGGGGCATCAGGGGGAGGAGGGGCAGCAGGGGGGGAAGGGGGAGCAGGGGGGGCAGGGGGAGCAGAGGGGGCAGGGGGAGCAGCGCTGGCACTGCCGTGGGGGGATTGGGAGGCGCGGGTGCGAGTGCTGCGGAAGCAGCACATGCTGTTCGAAACCAAGGACGTGGATGGGGAGCAGGCGGAGGTGGTGTGGCGGGAGAAACAGCAGCAGCAGCAGCAGCAGCAGCAGCAGCAGCAGCAACAGAACATGTTGCTGCTGCAGGGAAGAGAGCGGAGCGAGAAGGGAGAGCAAAAGTTGCTGATGCTGCCGCCGCCGCCGCCGCCGCCGCAGCAGCAGCAGCAGCCGCAGCCGCGTGAGGAAGTGCATCGACATGCACTTGAGTCAGGGCAAGAGGGACGGGGTGAGGGTCAGGGGCATGGTCAGGAGCAGGGGCTAGGGCAGGGGCGAGAGCAGGCGCAAGGAGCACAAGAGGCGGGTGTGCGGGAACGTCAGCCTTTGCAGGAGGTTCAGGTGGGGGCAGCGGCGGCAGCATCACAGCAGGCGGTGCAGCAGCAGCAGCAGCAGCAGCAGCAGCAGCAGCAGCAGCAGCAGTGGCGAGTGGAGGTGGAAGATGTGGTGGAAGAGAATGAGGGAATGCAGCAGGGCGCACAGCAAGAAGCACAGCAGCCCTCTCGAGAGCAGCAACCGCTGCGACTGCAGCAGGGACAGCAGCAGCAGCAGGAGCGGGCATATGATCAGCGGCAGTACCATCAGTCGCAGCAGCAGCTGCTGCAGCAGCAGTTTCTTACAAACGCAGCAGCAGCAGCAGCAGCAGCAAGCACCCACACTGCAGCTAGCCCTGCAGACAGAACCCCCGTCAAACCTACCCGCTCCCGACCCTCTCCTGAAAGACTGGGTGGCGAAGAAACAAGCAGAGAGAGAGAAACTGGTGAGGCAAGGGCTGGAGCTGCATGTGCCGTCCAGCCAGGTGGGTTCAGAGGAGGAAGAGGCGGAGGCAGAGAGATTGGTGCAGGCAGCGTTGAGGACGTTTGGGGGTTACAGGGAGGGGTTAGAGCGGAGCAAGAGGCAGATGGAAGAGGCTCAGCAGATCCTGCCGATGTATGCAGCAGCTGGGGTTTCTCCTGATGCTGCTGCTGCCGCCGCTGCTGCTGCTGCTGCTTCAGGTGCCGCTGGTTTCAGTAGTGTTCGTGCCGCTATTGAGGGTTCTGGTGCTGCTGCTGCTGCCACTGGCACTGCTGCGGGAGGTGCAACGGCAGCAGCAGCAGCAGCAGCAGGCACATCCAGCAGGCGCAGGAGACAGTCAGCAACAATGGATGCATACACGCTCATGAGCCAGAACAGCCAGCTACTCCCCCGGGACATCATAGGGCATGTGCGGGGCGTGCCTGTAGGCTCTACCTTCCCCTCTCGCCTGCACCTCGCAGTGGTGGGCATGCACACAAAGCACATGAGCGGGATTGACTTTATCCCCGCCTCCCGCTGCCCGTTTAGAGAGCATGTGACGACGTGTATTGTGATGTCGGGAGGGTATGAAGACGATGAGGATCAAGGGGAGGAGTTTTGGTATACTGGGCAGGGGTCTGGGAATCAGAAGCTGGTGCGGGGGAATCTCGGGCTCGCGAATAGTTATTTTCTGCAGCTGCCCGTGCGGGTGGTGCGCGGGCAGGTGGACTGGCAGGGGCGGAAGGTGTATGTGTATGATGGGTTGTACCATGTCCATGACTTTGCGCATGTGGTGGGGAAACAGGGGTGGTATGTGTACCGGTTTAAGATGGTGAGGGACCCAGGGCAGCCGGAGCTCAAGTCACAGTTGGTCACGTGGCGTAGAACGAGGAGGAGGTTGCTGCCAGATGGGACACCTTTTTCTGGTGCTGCTGGTGGTGCTGCTGGTGGTGCTGCTGGTGGTGCTGCTGCTGGTGCTGGTGCTGCTGGTGCTGCTGGTGGTGCTGGTGGTGCTGCTGCTGGTGGTGCTGCTGCTGGTGGTGCTGCTGCTGGTGGTGCTGCTGCTGCTGCTGGTGGTGGTGGTGGTGCTGCTGGTGCTGCTGGTGGTGCTGCTGCTGCTGCTGCTGGTGGTGCTGCTGCTGGTGGTGCTGGTGGTGCTGGTGGTGCTGCTGCTGCTGCTGGTGGTGTCAGCGATGGGTCTGCATTGTCGTTAACAGCAGGGACAGCTGGTGGGGAGCCTAGGGTGGCGGCAGCAGCAGCAGCAGCAGTGGCAGCAGCAGTGGCAGCAGCAGTGGCGGCAGCAGGTGCAGATGTGAGAGGAGACGTTGGAGCAGCAGTGATGGGCGGAAACGCAGGAGGTGAGAATAGCAGGGGGGCAGAAGCACCAGCTGCACATCCACCTTCTGCTCCTGCTCCCGCTCCTGCTCCTGCTCCTGCTCCTGTTCCCGCTCCTGCTTTCGCTCCCGCTCCCGCTCCCGCTCCTGCTCCTGCTCTCGCTCCTGCTCCGCTTCCCTCTCCCACTCCTAGTCCTGCTTCCTCCCCTGCTCTTGCTCCTGCCTCTGCATCTGCTGCAACGGTGACTGTACAACAAAGGACTCAACCTGACACAGCACTAGCAGCAGCAGCAGGAGCCGCAGTCGAGGCAACCACCGTAAAGGCAACTGCTCTTGGGTCTTCAATTCTGCCTGGATCTGTTCCATCTCCCTCCCTCTCCCCTTCCACTCCTCCATCCCCCAAGCCAAGCCCCATGGCAGTAGGTGAACCGTCACCTGCTCCCCCTCTCACACCCTCTCCCCCTCTCACGCCCTCTCCCCCGCCGCCTCAGCACCCCTCTGCCACTCCAGTGTCAGCTGTTTCCTCTGCTCTTCCCTCGGCCCTTCCCGCTTTGTTTCCCTCAACCCTTCCATCTGCGCTTCCTTCTGCTGCTCTTGCAACAGCCCGTGCTGCAGCCGCTCACGCAGGCAAACCACATGGGCCTTGGCTAGGGCAGGCATCTGCTCCATCTCGCCTCGTTCTCCCCTCTCATGCCGCCACCGCACCTGCTACTGCTCGTACTGCTGCCCCTGCTCGTATCTCTTCCTCCTCATCCGCACCCTCCGCTTCTGCTGCTGCTGTTTCTCCAAACGCACCCCGTGCTGCTCGACTGCCTCTCCTGCTCCCACGCCCACCCATCATCCAGCGAACAGTCATTGAATTGTCCCCATCACCTCCAAGCTCTCCGGCTCCGTTCTCCGCCCCAACTCCACACCCAGCCCTCCTCTCCCTCTCCCGCCAGCACCAGCAAAGCATCTCCACCAGAGCTCCCCTCCGCTTGAACTCCTTCAGCCATGCCCCTGCCCCTTTCCCCGCGGCACCTTCCTCTCTCGCCTCTCCCCCCTCTCCTCTCCCCACCGCTGGTTCCACTAACCCATTCCCAGCTGCTTCCCCCCAGCCACTACGCCTCACATCCCCTGTTCTACCCTCCTCCAGACCCCCTCCTGTGGCTGCTCCTGCTCTGTCTGCAACTGTAGCCTTCCCGTCTGCTGCTCCCTCCCTCTCCGCGCCCACCATTCCCTCTGCGAGCTCTCTTATTGGCCTCTTTGGTTTGCGCGAACCATCCTTTGGTTTCTCCTCGTCTTGACGCAGCACATGATCTGTTCTGTTTTTCTGTGCCACAAACGCGTGCTGCTTGTTTGTCTGCTGGTGCTTCCCCTTCTGTGGGGCTTCACAGTTGCTGCCCCCGCTGGAACCGGTACCGCATTGCTGTACACGGTGGTGTGGTGGTTTATGACAGTGGGTGGTCGCCAATTCTAGTTTTAGCTTATGAACAATGGGGGGTGGAGCAGATGGGTGGAATGAGATAATTATTAAGCAGGTGTGATCTACCTAAAAGCAGTTGAGTTTGTAATACAGCTGTGTAATAAAGCTGTGAGGGAAGGAATTTGCAAGCCATTTGTACAGTCAATATTACTCATTGACGCAAATGCACTGTCAAAATAGGAAGGCTGTGGTTGGAACATAAGGTACCACAGAGCCCAGCAAAACACAGCATCCAGTTACCAACACATGCAATGCACATACATGCAATGTCACATGCATCACTGCTCTCATGAGGTGGGAGGGGTCATAAAAACGACCAGTGGGTGACTAGAGAGATCACAAGAGGCACAGCACAACACAAAGTGATACCGTAGCTTGTGGGGGAAATGGATGGAGGGATGTGGATGAAGCATGTGAGGGTGATGGGCACTCAAATTCACAAGTGGCGGTGAGAGGAACTCAATGTGTATGCGAAGACTTTGTGTGGTAAGATGCGGGAGGGGAGTGCCGTCGGGAGGAGCTGTGTGGGGTAGTAATATGGGGATGGTACGGATGAATGTACGGTGCGTTGGTACTAGTGACACCTTGGCAGGAAATGCAGGTATGAGCGGAACCGAGTGAATGGGACCGGTGTGAACGGTGACAGTCCTAGCGTCCTAGGGTACATGGCACGGTGGCTAGAAGAGGGAGGCAGCACCATAGAGCAGAGCAGAGAGTGCAACACCCCAGAGAAGAGAGCGCAACACCCGAGAGCAGAGAGCGCAACACCCGAGAGCAGAGAGTGCAACACCCCAGAGCGAACCACAGGAGCATGGCCAGACCACAACACATGGGGAAACCAGATGGAGAGGGGACCATGCGGCCAAGCAAGCACATGTTGAGATCATGCCATGCGCATTAGGTGCCAATCCCGTTGCTGCAGCTGCTGTAGCAGCAGCAGCACGTGCAATAAGCGGCAGTAATATGATCATGCATGCCCCTATGTGGCATACTATAGGGAATAACAGAGATGTCTCATCCTGCCTCCACTCCTCGACCTCCTCTCGTCAATACACCTGCTCGCCTCCCCCTCTCCTCTCCCTCCCCTCCTTTCTCCCTCCCCTCATCAAGCCGCGTCCGGCACAGACTGAAGCACAATCGCCGAATACCCCAGCAGAGGATAGAACCCCGCAGCGAGAAGCGACGCAGACTGAGCCACAGCAACAGCCCGGTCAGAAGCGGGGAGATCGGGGGAGAGCACATCGTAGGGCGGGGGCTTGCTGGTGTCGACGAGCGGTTGCCACGTGCATGCGTAGCGGTCGGGGAGAGTGGCGACGGCCGGGAGGTGGGATGTGTTGAAGGCCACGTATAGCTCTGTGCCATCGTCGTCCCGCTGGTTGGGGAAAAAGAAGGGGGACAGGGGAATTGGGGAGGGGGAGAGGGGTTGTGGAGCGTGGTATGCAAGGAGAGGGGAAGGGATGTGTTGAACGCCACGTATAGCTCTGTTCCATCGTCGTCCTGCTGGTTGGGAGTGATAGGAAAAGGGGGAGGGAGAGGGTAGAGATAGGGACCCAGGGAGGGAGAGTGGGACGTGTTGGACAGGCATAGGATCAGGGAAGGAAAAGGGACGGGTGATGCTTGGGAGGGCATGAACATGGGACTGGCTGGGTAAAGTGGTCACTGCAGGGAGGTGCGACGGGTTGATAGTTGAACATGACGCATCGCTTTGTGGTAGGGAGAGGGAGGTTGGTAGGGAGGGAGGGAGGGAGGGAGGGAGGGAGGGAGGGAGGGAGGGAGGGAGGGAGGGAGGGAGGGAGGGAAGGCGGGTGGTGGAGTGGGAAGGGGCCGGGAGGGAGGGTTGCGAAGAGAGGAAAGGATCGGAGAGGAACAGAGAACTGCTGCTTTGGAAGGGTAAGGAGGTGAGGACAGGAAGCATCGAGGGGTTAACGGGATGGCGTAGCGTGCTGTGGCATGACGTGACAGGGCATGGGTACGTACGATGGTGAATGCGATGAAGCGCGAGGTGTCGGACCAATCAGGGCTGCCCGGGGTCAGCCCATGCCACTGCAGTTGATGTGGCATGGGGAAATCGTCCAAGCGGAAACACTTGAACTCCCTGGGGGAGAGGGCGCAACAACGAAGGCGGGGTACACAACACACACTCAACTGACTGCTGTTCTTTTGCAAAAGTTTCTTTCAGCTGCTGCTCGTCTAGTGTGAATGGCTGTAGTTGATGTGGCAAGGGGAAATCGTCCAAGCGGAAACACTTGAACTCTCTGGGGGTGGGACGAGGCAAGGGAGAGGGAGGTGAGGAGGGAGATGAGGAGAGAGATGAGGCAAGGGGGGATTGGGAGGATGGAAGAAAGTGAGCTGAACAGAAGAGGAAAAGGAAAAAGGGACAGGTGGAAAGGGGAAAAAAGAAGAAAACTTACTACGGGGATGAGTGCGGAAGGGAAGGAAGCAAAAGGGATGGGACTGGAAGGGGCAAGGAGGAATGGAAAGTGAGTGATGGATGGAGGGGTTGCAGCAGCAGCGGCAGCGCCTTACTTTCTCAGAGAAGCAATGGCTGGAAAGAAGTGCCGCACACAAGAGGACTTTTCATCCGCCTCCAGAAAGCAGAAGAGGAAGAGATGGGAAGGGGCAAGGGGAGATGCGATGCGAGTAGCATCCAGCAGCAGTGGCGACGACGTACTTTCTGAGAGCAGCAATGGCTCGGAAGAAGCGCAGCACACCAGAGGCGTCCTGCTCCGCCCTCTCCCAGTTGAAGTAGTTCATCTGTGGGAGGGGGAGGAAGAGAGGGTTTGGAGTGGGGGAGGTGGGGAGGGGTGGGAAGGGAAGGGCCACAGGGGAGAGGGGGAGTGTGTTAGTGAGCTGAGCCTGGCAAGAATGAAGTAACCGTCGGTCAATAGATATATTACACGGCTGGTGTTGGTGAAGGCTGGCTGGTGATTCTTGAGTCCACCAAAACATGCCCGAATCACACCAGGAGGGGCGTATCAGTCAGCTCAGCTTGGCAAAGGCAAGAAAGTCGAAGCGAGATTGTTATTACACTGTTGGCGGTGATGCCGGCTGGCCGGTGTGGGGACGGTGAGAGATGGAGGAAGGGATGGGGTGCACGCACCTGGGAGTCATGGCAGTAGGTGTTGTTGTTGCCGTTCTTGGTGTGAGCATACTCATCCCCCATATGCACCATGGGCACTCCCTGCCATGTGCCATACATGCACACACACACACATACATGCACACACACACATACAAATACATGCACACACACAGAGTCGGATTGGAGATGAAGGGAGGGTGAAAGGTGGTTGGTGACACAAGGGGAAGTGATAAGCAGGGGGCAGCGGAGGGGATAAGACGAGAGAGAGGGGGGCTTACTTATGAGTGAAAAGGTTATAGTGAGTATCAGAGGAATGAGAATGTTTTACTCGACAGAAGATTGAGCGCACTGCGATGGCAGAATGAGAAAGACCTAACATTCGGATTGATAGGGACTGTACCATGATAGGGGCTGTAGCTGTGAGAAGAAGAGAGCGCACCTGAGAGACAAAGAGCGCGAGAATGAAGTTGCGGATCTGCCTTTGCCTCAGCCTCTCCACCGCCACACTGACTGGCGCCCCCTCCTGTATCACAGACAAAAATCCCCTCCACACACACGCACGCACGCACGCACACACACACACAGAGGCACACACGCACAAGGCACAGGAGCACGACTGTTGAGACGTGTACAAACGTAGCAGCACAATAGGATATGAGAAGTAGAGAGCTTTGGCATATCAACACCTCTCCCCATGCTTCCACACACAATCCTCACCTCGCCGCAGTTCCAGCTGAGGTTGTGCTCCTCGCCATCCACACCCCTCCCCAACACTCCCATTTCCTCCTCCCTCTCCCCCCCCCCCCCCCACCCTTCTGTACACACACAAAGCTCATTCTCACCTCGCCGCAGTTCCAGCTGAGGTTGTGCTCCTCGCCATCCGTGTTGTCATTGCCGTTGGCCTCGTTGTGCTTGCTCGTGTACGCCACCAGGTCCCCCCAGCGTGAACCCCACTCCTCTCTCTCCCTCTTTCCAATTAGCACTCCTCCCCTTCCCCACTCCATCCCCCCACCCCCCCATTCCAAACTCCATCCGTCATTGAAACTCCAAACCCTCTCTCACCATCCCCCATCCCTCAAACCCATCCCCCACAGCCCAACAACGCTCTCTCTCCCTCTCCCGCTCCCTCGCACCTCGCCGCAGTTCCAGCTGAGGTTGTGCTCCTCGCCGTCGGTGTTGTCGTTGCCATTGGCCTCGTTGTGCTTGCTCGTGTACGCCACCAGGTCCCCCAGCGTGAACCCGTCGTGTGCCGTGACGAAGTTAATGCTGTGCCACGGCCGCCGGCCCCCCGCCTGGAGAGATTGGAGGAGAGGAGAGGAGAGGAGAGGAGAGGAGAGGAGAGGAGAGGAGAGGAGAGGAGAGGAGAGGAGAGGAGAGGAGAGGGGAGCATGGGAAGGTTGCGCAAGGGGAGAGGGGAAGGGTGCGAGGGGTGCTTGATGAATAGAGGGAATGGCGATGGGCAGTGGGAAGGGGTGGGGATGGGTGAAGACGAGGGGTGCTGGCTTGCTGGTGTATGCTACCAGGTCCCCCAGCGTGAACCCGTCGTGTGCCGTCACAAAGTTGATGCTGTGCCACGGCCGCCGGCCCCCCGCCTGGAGAGATTGGAGGAGAGGAGAGGAGGGGAGGGGAGAGCGATGACAAGGAGAGGGAAGGGGCGTGCAACGTTAGTGGAGAAAGGTGTGAGGGGGGCATGCGGACAAGAGGGCATGGTGATGGGCGACAGGAACGGAGGAGGGGGG